CTGTATGGAAGGGCCGATTCAATACTATGGTCCTTTGTTCAAAAAGGCCAACCCAGACGATATACTGCACCCACATAGAACGCTTTAACATTGAACACGGACTTGAAAAAAAAAAGACACCTTTGTGGTTTGTTTCGGTGTTTCTTCCCAGAGCGAGTCTTAGGAAATTCCGGTGCCTTCTAGTTGTAAAGTCCGACTTGTAAAAATATCTGAAAATATTTACTTGCAGAAATAAATACCATTTCATTTCATTTCCAAGATGAAGACACATTGTTTCAATTTCAATTCATAATCATCAACGTCCTTTAATAGTCCACTACTGGACATAGGTCTCCCCTTAGAAAGGAGGTTTTGGCCTATGTCAATTAAGAAGAATAAATTTTCATGTTTAATAGATACTAAGTTATTATACATGCAAAAGTGACACTGCTGATCTGTCTGAATAAAATGGATTTAAAACATGCATCAACGTATCTGGGGACAGAGAATGAGTGTCCTGGGGACAGAAAATGATTTAAGCTAAGAAAGACTAAGAAAACCACCAGTTAATCAGTTTCGCACGGAACATGGGGGTTCCCACACAGGAGGGGGTAATCTACCCACCGTAGATACCCCGAGGTACGTTGGGGTACCAGGTGCGGTTTTTAGTCGGTTCGAGTCCGACATAGCCACCGGTGGTGGCTATCGGTAGTGGTTTCTGAGGGGCTTAAAGCACAGAAAAAAAGGGTATCAATTGAATGAAAACACTAAAAAAGGATATACACCATATTTACTAACAAGATTTTTAGTTTTTCTACCCGTTGTTACAATTTCTGAAGATCAGTGTTTAAATTAATGGTATTCTTCGCTATCTAAGTAGTGTAAACAGCTTATTTTAAAGAAGATGCAATGGAAATCATTGAATGCCAATTGCATTCTTATATAATAAAATTTACCACGCAGATCTATTAAGTGTCCCTTTATCTCTTGACTACAATGGACGCAATCAAACCGAATCCAATACTACTATTTATTAATAATAATCATTTACAAAATGTTCGTAAAGCAGTCGGATATGGAGACGTTAATAGACTCAAGCAGGACATTCAACAATTTGATGACTGGATAAAGAAGCAAGATCATTTTAGAATTAAGGACTTTGGTAGGTCTATTTTTGTGTATTCGATTGCCAATAATAATAATCATTCTAAACGCTCACGTAGCTAGTAGATGAGACATTCCTTTAATTAGTTTCATTCTGTCTTGAAATTACGATTTAATATGATTCACTTCAATGGAATTCGATCTTTGGTGTTAAAGTGAAATTTTAGGTAAGACTAGGTAAATTCTGAATTATTATTGACGTTTAAGAAATTGATAATAAATTATGGTTACGAGAAAAAAGTCAATGCAGTTCTATAACTAACCGACCTAAACAGTGAAATAAATATATCGAATTTATTTGGATTGCTCTGTTTTTAGGGTCACTAAGTAAACTAAAATAATTAATTGTTAAAAACATCAGGAGTTTGATATCAAGTACCTAATCCGTTCATTGGTGGCTATTTAAAAAAAAAAACAAAACATACCCTACGCTTTTTTACAATCAAAAATTATATTATTTAAAATTTAATTTGAATTAACTTTGTACTACGAGTATATTTTTAAAACAAAATTACTAAGATCTACTTAAGATGAATATTAAATTATTGTATTGCAATACTAAAGTATGCCTTATAAAAGTGACACTAAATTTCAAATAATTTTCGTGATTATCAACAATACTTAACTGTAAATACCATCATTTGATATAAAATTACTAAATATGTCACTTTGGTATTGCGTTTATCAATTTTGTATCCAATTATTAAATATTGTAGCGCCTTTAGAATGCAAATTCTTAATTCTTTTTTTCCAGACCTAGACTATTTTGAGAGACTGTTGATTTCTAACAAAGGATCTATTGAGAGGGCAAAGCGGAAATTTGATAAGTTATGAACATGTATAAACTTAATGCCGGTGTTTCTTGGAAACTTTGACGTATAGAATGAATTTGCTCCGTTCTTCAAAGTTTCGTAAGTATTTATGAAATAAGTCAAATTCAGTAAACTAAGAGAAATATTTTGTAGTCTTAATCCATGTACTCCTTCAATTTAGATTAAGAACTGAGGTGAAGGGGTAATCAAGCGTGAACCATAAAACTATGTGGGCGGTGAATCCCATTAATATTACAAAAGCGAAAGTTCGTAACGATGGATATGTGGGCGTTAATAACTGAATTACACTAGAGCACAGCTGCTCTAGATGAAATAATTTGATACAGAGATAGATTATATTCTGGACTAGCACAAAGGCAACTTTTCATCATAGCAAAATTGATAGAAAAAAAATAGACATTAACACGAGTGAAGCCTCAGATGAAAGCCAATTATTTTGTATTGGCAATGTCGTTATTTATGTATACGGATTAAGAATACGGACTGTCACCACCCCTGTTCATCCCGTGGGTGTCGTCAGAGACGACTAAGGGAGCAAACTGCGCAGGACAACAGCCCTGCAAAGAGAAGGAAAACCTGAAACATACCCTTTTTTTTTTTTTTTTAACGTGTGGAAATCCCCTCGGACCGTCACCCCTCCGGGGTTTGCGGCGGGGTGGTGTGTCGGACTCGGACCGACTAAAACCACACGGTGTGCCACTCTGCGCCTGTAACAGGAGGGATCCGGGAACAGCTGTTGTTAAGACATCCGGACCCCTCCTAGCGCCAGCCCGCTCCTGGTGCGGGCTCCGTCTCAGTATATTTTCCTCTCTTTAGGCGACGTCCGGCACACGCGGACGCCGCCCCCTCGCGGCTGGCCAACTAATGCGGGTGGAGGGGAAACCCACCCCGTCCACCCGCGGCCACACTCAGGGCGGCATGAGGCTGTGGTAGGCGGGCCTCCGCCGCCCGGTTCGCCGGCGGCGGATCAGGTCCGAGTGGAGGTCATCCTCCCGGGCCCTCTCCGCCGCCTCCTTCCGCGAGATTACTACCTCGCAGAAGGTTGCGACCGCGGTAAAACAACTGTCGCTACCGGCCATGGAGCGTACTACGGCCGGTAGCGAGAGATCCACTCCGATGACTGCAGTGAGGGCCCGACGCTGCGCCGCCCATGCGGGGCAGACCGCCAGCGTGTGCTGAGCCGAGTCCTCACTGCAGTCGCAGTGGTGGCAGGCGGGACTCAGTTCCCTCCTAGCGACCGTGTGCAGGTACTTTCCGAAGCAACCGTGCCCGGAAAGCACCTGCGTCAGCCGGAAGGAAAGGGTCCCGTGCTGCCGCCCTGCCCACTCGGCGATGACCGGCTGGAGAGCCTCCACGGCGGCGAAGCCAGCGCGTGGAGTCTCCAGCCGGAACGACCAACGAGCCATCGTGGCTCGGCGAGCGGCTTCGCGCCACTCGCGCACATCCTCGGGCGGAGGGCGAAATCCGCTCTCCGCCCGGAAGTCAGCCACTCGCAGATAAACTTCGGCGAGCACTTCCGCCTCCAAATCCCACGGGGGAGTTCCGGCCAATGCGCATGCCACCTCCGTCGAAACGGTGCGGTAACCGCGTATGGCTCTGACCGCCATTACCCTCTGAGGGCGCCAGAGGCGTACCCTATTCTGGGCGGTCAGAGCCGCCGCCCACACCGGTGCACCGTACAGTGCCATTGACCGGACAACCCCCGTGTACAGCCGTCTTGTCGCGACGCTGGGTCCACCCATATTGGGCAAAAGTCGCCCTAGGGCAGACGCAGCGCCGACCAGCTTTGGAGCAAGCTGTCGGAAGTGCTCGTCGAAGAGCCACCTCCCGTCGAGGATCAGGCCCAGATATTTCATCTGGGCCCGAACCGGTACGAGGACCGAGTTGACCACTATTGAGGCGCCAGGGGGTGGACCACCACGGGGCCCATGAAATAACAGGGCCTCCGTCTTATCTAGGGCCACCCGTAAGCCCAGCGCCTCAATGCGCCCGACCACCAGGGAGACTCCCCCTGTGGCCAGGCGCGCCGCCTCTTGGAAGTTTGCCCCCCGGGCTGTCACGAGGGTATCGTCTGCGTAACAGATTACACCCAGCCCGGGGGGAAAATCGGCGCGAAGGGCCCAGTCGTACCCTATGTTCCACAAGAGGGGTCCAAGAACAGACCCCTGTGGAACACCGCACGACATGGGCCGACACCTCAGATTACCTTCTCGGTCCTCGTACACGACGGTACGCTCCTCTAAATAGTCTGCCACCAGCCGCCTCAGGTACTTTGGCACCCCATGATAGTGGAGTGCTTCCCTGATGCAGCTGAATGGCAGACTATTGAATGCGTTGGCGATGTCTAATGACACCGCCAACAGCACGCCGCCACAGCTCACGGCCTCTTCGGTCACGGCCCTCAGGCGCAACACGGCGTCGACCGTCGAACGCCCCGCCCGAAAACCAAATTGGGCGTCCGACAGATCGCGGCCCACCTCGCAGAGGTGCCGGACGATGCGGGCAGAAAGAACCCTCTCAAACAATTTGCCCGCCTCGTCCAGCAGCACGATGGGCCTATAGGCCGCGACCGAATCGGCAGGCCGTCCCGGCTTCCTCAATAGGACCAGCTTCCCGCTCTTCCAGCACTCAGGGAAGCGTCCCGACGCCAAGCTAGCGTCGAACACCTCCCCGAGGCGGTCTGCCATGTGGTTGAGGGCCAGGGCCAGCACTCGGGCCGGTACCCCGTCTGGCCCAGGGGCGGTGTTCTTGGAACGGATCCGTAGAACAGCCGCCCCTACCTCCGAATCCCGGACGGGCGGAACATTGTCCTCCCCGTGCTCCCCGTCGAAACATACCCTATACCAACCCGTCTGGTCAGCGTGGTATAGTAGGCCAAAACCTCCTTTCTAAGGAGAGGCTTATGTCGAGCAGTGGACTATTAAAGGCTATTGATGATGATGATGATGATATTTTACCCCACCACACGGACCTACGGACACGGACATAGGGAAAATATATGGTTACAATTTCAAATTTAAAACTATGAAAATTTTTCTGTTGAAGATGGGTCACTACGTACTGACACATGACTATTGCCAAGGATTTGAGCTTGTAGGTGATCTGAGGAAGCTAACGCTGAACAATGCGAAGAAATTGAACCCACTTGTCCTGCATAAGGCCCTGATGCTGCTCACTGTGAGTGTAAAGACAAATAATAATATTGTAGAGAGTAATGTTTTTTTAAAATGTTGTAGCAACTTCCACTTAATTTCACAAAACAGAAACATACTTCAGTGCCATCTATCGAAGAAACACTAAATTACAAAGAAACTACTAATCCTATATCGCACAATGAAAATTCTCGCGCTGTATATATACAACTTTTTAATTTCTATCTTTGGACCGTGGTCTTCCAGGCATAATCACCTCGCGTGGTCTGAATAACTACCTACCCACTAAGATCAGAGAGAAAATACAAATCTTCGTCACGTCAATAAAAAATACCATTTTAGTATGTTCTCTCAAAACTCTCATTAACGTAACTCTTAAAAAGTAACAAATGGAAATTGTTTTTTTTTAAATTACTTAAAATCATAAAGCTTAAAAAAATGAGAACTTTATTTAAGAGTTCAAAATGTTTTTTCTTGTTAAACTCCATAATGTTTGCAAGCAGATTACGTTTGTAGCATTAGTTCACCAGCTTGGCTTCGGTTATCCTCATTTTTGTCCACTTTTCGCTGAAATAATGATTTTTCTTTTAATTTTTTTTTTCTTTAGACACCTAGATCATCATGATGTTTAGGTAATTAGTAGTTTACTTTTATCTCCCATTTACTTCATTTTAGTATTGAAAATAATTTAACGACATTAGTATTTCTAATAATATCTGTTCAAAATTTATACCTTTGCCTTCAGTATTCTCTAATATTACAGGAATGCATGGGGCAAAGAGTGAAGAAATTTCATTTATTCAATGGATCTGTGTTCTTTGATTTTCTACTTAATTTATTAAAGCAGGGTCTTTCTTCTAAATTAAGGGAAAGAATTGTAATTCATTCAAGTATTGAAAGTTTACATGGCCTTATCCCTAAGGAGCGATTACCCAAAGACTTTGGAGGAGAGGAAATGAGTACAAAAAAACTTGCCGGTAAGTTATTTTAAGTAAAAGTAGTGCTATTAGCACTACTTTTACTTGGATGGATGGAATGGAATGGATTATCCATTTTTAACTTTCTAGTAACTCTTCCATCATAACAAAAGTGACATTGGTTTTATTGAAGTATTTATAGGTAACTGAGCTTTTTGTGTATCATTAAGATTACCCCACCTGTCATGGAACTAAGTAAATTTTAGCTGTATAAAATTTTAAAAAGAGCAAATCAGGTGTATCTGCCTAACTGGTAGACTGTTATCAAAATTAAAGTAAAAGATTATTTTTTGTTTGCAGATTTAACCTTTAAAGAGCTAAGTAGCGATGAGCATTTAGAAAAACTTAAATTTATGGAGCAAGCTGCTACGGATGAGTCCCTTCGGCTCACAAGCACATTCAATGAGGAATATTCAGGAGTACCCGGCTCGTTCAAGACATTGTGCGTGTATTAAACATTATTTGTAATTGAACGGAGCACAGTTAATCCTACAAATGTTATAACTGATCCATATTAAGGACGTCAAAGATTATCAAGATAAGTTTTTGTCATTCAACATTGCCTGAACTAATTGTTGACGTGTTGACCAATACAATGCAGTTACAAGGCATCATAGAATGCCAAAGCATATCCATCAAGTAATATTGTGACATGCGTGAAACCCCGTAGAAAGGCCATGCCCATTAGGTATATAAAATAAATTAAGAGGATTGTCTTATGGAGATGAGAAAGATATCAGCAAATAAGATCCAAATATCCAATATTGTAGGGGCTCTCGGCTTACTGGGAACCGAGTAGGTTAACACATTCCAAAGTTAAGTTATCCTAGCTAGGTCAGTCTATGGATGGGTGACCATTCTTAACAGATTGAGACCTAGAAAGTCAGACAACAGTCTTTCTACAGAACTTTGATAACACCTAGTACTTGGGTTGTGTTTTTAATACAATTAAGTTACAATATAATTTCTTGGTTGCTCTGGTGGTGAGCCTTGCTCCTATTAGTTACGTAAGTGGAGCTTGAGTTAAGTTTGGCAAATATGATATATGCAAATATAAGTCTACTTTTCGGAGCCAAAATAAATGAGTGGGGATACGTAATTGAAAATTATGGTAACTGTGTAAACAAGGAACCCCAGAGATACGAGTACTAAGCCTCAGGTTTGAAGCTTTAATAGTGATAAAATTATAATAACTTTTATTTTAGTAAAAATTGTAGTTATACGGGGTTCACAACCTTAAATTACTTTAAAAAAATAAAAGTATTTTTATCATTTAATAACCGTTCCTTTGTCATGAGAACCATAAAATAAATATGATCTATTAGAACATATTGTAATCTACGAATAAAATAATATGATAATTTTTTGCCTCATACAACCAACCAGTGGAACAACAATCGTCTGCGGTATTTCCAGACCGTTCCGATCTTCGAACCTTCAAGAAATAGCGTACTCCTTCTTTAAAGGCCGACAACGCGCTTGTGACTCCTGAGTTGCAGGCCTTCATGGGCAGCGGTAGTCACTTTTCACCGACCCGGAATGCTCGTTTGCCCCTTTTTCCTTAAAAAAAGTCCGGGAGCCTTGAAAAAATTTGGTTAATAATTTCCTCTAGGACGCATCAGGAAGTTGTATCATAATTTGATGGTAATTTGATCAAGTGCTGAATGCTATCTGGTTGGTGCGTAATCAGACGACAGTATAAATGGAGGCTTAATGTTTATGTTATGATACTTTATGATATAAGTCTCAGACACATTCCTCTAAATATCGCTTACCAACCCGTCTGGCCAGTGTGGCATAGTAGGCCAAAACCTCCTTTCTAAGGAGAGGCCTATGTCCAGCAGTGGACAATTAAAGGCTATTGATGTGATGTGATGATACCTTACCATGACTCTGTTCATAATTATTTTAGGGGATTTGATTCAGTTGCGGAAAAATGACTTCATTTTTATAATGCCGTCGTCTTAGCGCCATCTATTAATCGTTTTTGACATTGGTCTTCAGTCATATTTTCTGACATAATGCCATCTATTATGGTTGTCTTGAACTTAAATGTATTTTAACTGATTTTTTCTGATAAATAATCTAGTATCATTATATGTAAAGCGTAATAATACTTTTGTAAGGTTAAATTTCCATTTCTATTACGAATAATTTCTTTTTTTTTTCATTCTTGATTCTATTTTTGTTATGTAAGATTAGAAAAGATAAGATAGTATATTAATTTAGTGCACTGTTAATTTTTGCTCAACAATTAATTTTAAAATTTTAATAAAATCTTCGAAAAAAAAGACGTTTTAATAATTTTTTCAGCCTAATTTAATACTCGTAACGCTGGTGTGAAATAAAGAATTTAATTAATTATAATATATATAATAATATAAACATAATAGTAACTTTAAATTAGTACCTCAACTGAAAAATTCTCAAGCTATTGTTATTGTATGCGATTCAAAAAGTAACCCGTGTATTATGCTTTCATGGCTAAACCTCTAAACCGGTTTTAATAAACCGGTTTTAATAAAATAAACTTAAAATTTTAGGTATAAAGATAGAGACTAGACTTAGACTTGTTGAATTGGAAAGCTGAATTGAACGCAGTGACCGCCTCTATATCGTCTGCATGTTACGCTATAAGATCCCTTAGAGACGAACTAGATATAGAAAGACTAAAAATGATGTACTATGCGCTTGTGGAATCAAAATTAAAATACAGCGTCCAATGTTGGTGTCATAGTTATGGTAATAATATACCAAGAGCTTTCATTTATAAATCTTTTTTTTTTTTTTTTAAAACGAATATTATTCCCCAATTAAATGTCGTAAAACACAACGCTAACAAACAACAGCACTGCAGAGAGAAGGAAAACTTGACACAAACCCTATACCAACCCGTCTGGCCAGCGTGGTATAGTAGGCCAAAACCTCCTTTCTAAGGAGAGGCTTATGTCCAGCAGTGGACTATTAAAAGCTGTTGATGATGATGATGAAAACACAACGCTAGATACTGGTATCTAGCGGGACAGCTGCATAATAAGTTGCCTGAGGATATAAAGAGAGGGTTATATGCAAGTTCCTTTAAAATAAAAGCTTTCCTTTAGGACAGATGCCTTTATACTATTGATGAATTGTAACATAAGAGTGAATTTATCTGAATTAAATTATCGAAAATATGTATATGTAAGATAACCAGTGACATTTTACTATTTACACATTTTTCATTATTACTGTTTTATTAAAATGACTGTTTCAAAATACTAATGATATTGCATGAATAATAACTAATGATGACGCAATTTTTTTTGTTTAAATACTATTACTATTATCTTATTAATTATTATATTTCAAATACAATGTAATTTGTTGATGAATAAATTACTATGACTAATGAAATTTGGCGTGGATGTACTTTGATTTTTGATTTTGAACGTCAAAAACATTAGCCATGTCCTTCACATAGGCTAATGTTTTTGACGTTAACTGATATAAACGCGGGCGGAGCCTCGAGCAAAAGCAAGTTTATTTTAAAATCTAGGAACAGATTGTCAAGCCTTTAGCCCTCTTTCAGCAAAGAGGTCCGTGGTATTAATGGTATCCTATGGATACCATTAATACAGTGATCAATCAATATGTGAAAGTAGGTACTTATTTTTTTCAAACTTTTTTATTTCTGTTATTCGAAGTAATCACCCATGCAATCGACGCATCTTTGCCAACGCATTGGCAGTTTATTGATGCCCTTGTAAAAATCAGCTGGACGCGAGGCAACAAACTCTTCAAAGGCATTTTGTACTGCCTCTCGGGAATTAAATTTATGGTTATAACAACAAACGCGAGTAACACCGCGGGTCTCAGCTAGTTTTCAAAATATAAATTGATGCAGTGTTAGAATGTTGTGTTCTCTAAAGTATGGTTTACAGCTATCGGTGTCCTCTACATTGACCAGAATTCTAATTAGTTTTTTTTGAAGTGTGAAGAGTGTTGGCACATCATCTGTGCTGTTACTCCATAATATGATACCGTAACTAAACCAGGCATAAGCGTATGCGTAATAAGTGGTGAGAGCTGTTTGAAGGTCGGTGGTCTTTTTAATTTCGTTATGTGAGATTTCCAATTCATGTGTGTGTCAATTGACAGGTCTAATAGGGTAAATTCGGGGAAAACTTCTATTTTTGAACCATTATATGTAAAGTTTTGATAAGGGATTTTTGATAAAGGTGGAAGGACATAATTTTAGTTTTGGAAAGAAAATTTCGAGGTTATAGTATTTTATCCAATTTACTGTTTTGTCTAATGTTTTGGTTAGGTTTTTGTTAAAATTTCTAATATTCTGGCACGAGATGAGGAGCGAGATGTCGTCTGCAAACAATACGAAAGGTCCATCTATGTTTTTTGGGAGATCATTGATATATATAATTGCATTATAATTGCATTGCAATAATAATGACATTTTCATACTTAGATTTAGAAATGTAATACACGTTTAAATAAAAGAATAATTAAAAAACCTGTTTCGCTTTCCTATATTATTATAGATTAAAAAGATTGGTTCCGAAGATCTTTAGACTATCAAATAATTAACAAAATAAATGTGAATTAAGTTATCAAGAAACAAAATAAATAGAAATAAGAAGCTATAAAACCAACACGAGTTGACCTTCGCTGCCAGTTTATGTTACCTGTTCTCAACGACACGATGGAAGAATTAAATAAAAATCCTATATTGGAATTCAACGAGAATCAATTACAAGCCGTTCGACAAGCTCATGGCTATGAAGATGTGAATAAGTTAAAACAAGACATTGAATTGTTAAAAGAATGGATTCAGAAGCAAAATCATTTCAAGATTAAGGATTTTGGTAAGTTGCCTTTAAATTTTATATTTTTTTTTATATATAGTTTTATAGTTTGTAAAAATTGTATTTTGGGTGACTTTGTGTTTATCATTATTTAGATGATGTAAACACACAATTGTAAATTTCGGTGGTGACAGATTAAGAATACGCAGTGTCACAATCCCTCATTCATTCCGTTTGTGTCGTAAGAACCGAATAAGGGAGCAAACTGCAGAACAACAGCACTGATAAAAGAGAAGGAAAACGTGAAACACACCCTATTACAACCCTGCGTCAGCATGGTATAATAGGCCAAAATCTCCTTTCTAAGGAGAGGCCTATGTCCAGCAGTGGACTGTTAAAGGCTGTTAATGATGATGAACTTCTATTTTAATCATTGTAGAAAAAGAGAGGAGAAGAGGATAGCTGTGAGATTGAAAGTTGATCGGAACTCAATTGTGACCGAACTTTTTTTACGAGAATTGGCCTTCTGTAGTTAAGTTGTTTTAGCTGAGAAGGGAATGGCACAGGGGTCTGTGATAAATCCTCTTCATGTCATCGCCTACGTCAACGATATGAATAACGTACTCAAAAACTGCACCTCGTACCAGTGTGCGGATGACACCTGTCTAATATTCACAGATCATGATATTCGTTCTGCGTTCACGAAAATGCAGGCTGATCTCGACTACATTAATAAATCTGCCATGACAATGATCTGGTCCTTAACTCAAACAAAACTAAAGTCTTGCACATAACGTCGCCATATAAGAGGACACGCTATCACACTGGTAGTCCTAGTATCTTATAAGCACTCATATCTAGTGTAGACGTACTCTATGCGAATGTACCAAGATAGAAAATGTAGATAACCACACAACATTTGGGTTTAGTTATTGACAGTAAATTAAACTGGCGTCCCCACGTTGACAAAGTCTGTGAGAAACTTAAAGCTTTCCTTGCTAACTTTTTGGACTAATCCCACCCGCACGCCCACCACTGTAACTCCTGTACACCAGGATCCACAGCAGTGACCCACGAACACACCGAGTTATGACACTCGGGAAGTCCCAGGAAGAAATTAAACTGTCTTGGAACCCGCAACGAAATTAATCAGAAGAAAATTGGAGGAGTTGGAAATACAGTAAATCCACTTCCCTCCTTAGGAAAGCGGGAGACAAAACGAAGTAAAATTGGCATACACCCTTTTAAACAGGGAAGCACCACGTCCACAAAATATTACGGGTCCTACATGAGCTATATTTGATTTCTATAATAAGTATGGCAGAATCGCCTAAACGCACGGAAATTCACCCTAGTTGACACAAGATCCCCATAGTATACCGCCCCAGATGTCACCTGCAAGCTATTCAGCATTATAACTTGTATATTATATATAACCTTGATAACTTGTATATTATAAAAGATAGACTATCTTACAGGACTAGGATCTTACTATATAATGCCCCTGTTGACTCTGTCATAAACTATGGTATACCTAGTTATGGTAGAACTTATAAGACCCGCCTTAATCGCACCCTCAACTTATAATGTAAAATTTTTAACAAAATCGTCCCCCTCAATATTAAAATTGAATATACTCGTAAATGCAACGTATGTGAACTTTTAAACACTGTGAGGTACTTCCTGTACACACCAAAAATCTCATTAAACAACAATTTTTCAACATTAACATCCTACATGAAATATCTCATAATAAACTAACGCGACAAATAACGAGTAACAACTTTATTACAATTAGTGCAACTAACGTTTACGGTGAGAGAACTACTCGGTGTATGATTCCTCTACTAATTAATAGGCTCAACCCATCATTTGTGCAAAGCATTACAAAACGTAATATCAAATATAAATTAAAAGCTTGTTCGCTCCAGCCGGTTATCGGAGGCAGGGTGGCGGCATTTGAACCTTGCCTTCCGACTGACGCAGGTCCTTTTCAGGCACGGCTTCTTAGAGAAGTACATGCACTCGGTCGCTAAGAGTTAATTGAGTCCCGCCTGTCACCACTGCGGTTACAGTGAGGTCTCGGCTCAGCACACGCTGGCAATTTGCCTGGCTTGGGCATCGCAATGCCGGGTCTTCATTGCTGTCATGGCCGGTAGTGATAGATGTTTTAGTGAGGTCGGATCCTTCTGTGAAGACATCCTTTCGCAGAAGAAGGCGGCGGAGAGAGCCTGCGAGGACAACCTCCACTTGGACCCAATTCGTCGCCGGCTAACCGGTCGGCGGAGGTGCGCTTACCAGCGCCTCACGCCACCCTGAGTACGGTTGCGGGTGGATGGGTACGGGTTTTCCACTCCATCCGCTTTAGTGGCTAGCCGCGAGTAGGTGGCGTCCGCGTGTGACATAAGTCGCCTAAATAGAGAATTCACCCGAAGGTGGTACCGTGGGTACTTTGCGGAAAGATGTCCAGATGTCTTAATAACAGCAATACCTGGATCCTTCTTATTTCAGCCGCAGAGTTGAACACCGTATGTCGTGTGTTAGTCGGTCCGATTCCGACACACCACCCGGCCGCAAACCTCGGTGGGGTGCTGGCCCGAGGGAGCTTCCACACGTAAAAAAAAAGCTAGGAATATTAAAATTTAAAAATTTAAAAAAAAAAAACAGTATTCCTAACATTATCATCATAATCATCGCAGTCCACTGCTGGACATAGACCTCTTTGATTAAATAATTATAAAATTATGACGAATGATAAACCGGAGCTAATATTAGGCATTTTGAACCATTCGGAATTATCAAAACCGGTATTTTGAAATTCGTATTTGTGACTGACGGAATAAAGTTTTTCGTATTTAGGTAGTGTACCCAGATTTCTGGTGGTACTAAAATATGGTATGCTATTAAAACAATAACAGTCTCTCTAAGATTGTAACTAAATAGATTATAACAGAAACTAAAATTTTTCCTCATATCAATTTCGTTATTAGTTTCTTAATTATGAGATACCTTGAAGTACAAATATATTTAAAAAAAAACATTACTAAAACACATTATAGTCCATTAAATTTAAGGCCATTAAATATTATATATAAAATAAATTTACATAATTAAATGCGCTCATTAAATCAAAAAAAACCTAGCAAAAAATAAACATAGTCTGTGTATATGATATGACTAGAAACGAAGTAAGTACTTTACTGATGAATAATGGAGGAGGATGAGAGTAGAAAAATCATTGCACCGACTTCAAATATATTCGGGAAAGGTGTAAGATGATGGTGATGATACACAGAAATCGATTAGTATAATATTATTGATAACGAAAAAAATGAAATTTGATTCTTTACGTTTTACAGATCCAGGATACTTGGAACGTTTGCTAATTTACAACAAAGGGTCCATTGAAAGGACAAAACAGAGATTTGATAAATTCTGTACGTTCATCAATTTGATGCCAGATTTTTTGCAAAATTTTGACATAAAAAATGAGTTTCGTCCGTTGCTAAGTATGGGGTAAGTTTTTGACTGATTGTTAATTTTCTCTGAATTTTTTGTACATCGAAGTTTTTCATACGAATAAAAATTGAAGTATAAAACTCTAAAACTGCACTTCAGAGAAGTAAAGTCAAATTCGCGACTTTTGATGTCTAGATCTGTCATATTATATGGGACGAAATTCGAACAGAGTTAAATAGGTCGTCGTGACACAAATCGGTCGAGGATAGTACCTAGTAATATCTCTTCTCTCATGTCTTTTGTAAATATAAAGAAATTTTTCCTAACAGTTACCAAAAATGTCTTTTACTTAATTATGAGCTCAGCATCTTCAGCAAATGAAATTAAGTACAGGGTGCGGCAATTGAATCCTGCATACGTCACAACACTGTTAAGGCTTTTTAACATTAAATATCCTCAAACAGTTTGTGTGCGCCTAATTATAAAACAATGACACAATTCAACTTTAGCATTCGCAATAGGTTAAGAATCAAATTAATTTGCACAACCTTGGTGATTTCACCAACAATAATTACCTCATTTTTATGAATAAAATCAGGAGTTTGAATGTGGTATCGTATTCCTGGTCAATTCTTCGCAGTTCGAAGTCAGCCACAAGCATTACAGAGCAGACAGACGGTTGCTATTGCAATCCTCTAAGAGACCTCACGGAAGTTCTGGGCATTTGACCCGGTATGTAGTCATAACTGTGCACTCAAGGGTGCTTTCATTTCCTGCATCTTCATGCTGGCTCTGCAATAGAGGAGTAACACCTATATATTAAACAGGATATTTCTAACAAGGACCACAACCCATGCAGTTAGAACATTTAAAACGAAGGAAAAATTTTGAAATCGTCAGAGATTTGTTCTCATGTATTTGAAACATTAACGTTTTTAATGGCAAGATTTATATTCAAAATTAAACATATGAAGTTCGACCAGTTGTGATAAGTCAAGGTCAAAGTCAAAGGACAACGTAAATCCAAATCTTTATTTTCTATTTGTGATTTTATTCTCACGATACCAGTTACCTTCAAAATATTTGTACAGGTCATTTTCTCATACTTATCATTGAAACAAAATAATAACGTTTATTTTTATTACTTCAGAAACATCGCTGTGTTACCAAAACCTACCAGTGATAATTATCGAGTAATTATTTCACAAACCAATGGGAGTTTTGACAACGATTTTCAATTGATTGACTACTATAGATACCACGTGGTGGTAAGTAAATACTTAAGACATTACACAACGCTGTCAAAACGTTGTCTAAACAAACATATAGGGCCTGCATAGGCGGGGCGTCGATTCGGGGAAACCTGAAAGAATTTGGTCCAGGTCCTCCCCAAAGTAGGGCTCCTGTGACCGACCGTCATGGTAGTCTTAAGTAGAAACATCACATAGAGGAGACGGAGATCCAAAAGGATTTTAAACCCCGACAAAAAAAAGATTCAAACAATGCATATTTTGTACTATATACTCGTACCTACGTATAATATACCTACATACATATATAAATTACGTTATAATACACAAAATATTCTTCTTATATACCCATACGCTTACGTCTGTATCTTCGAATAACACTAGTATTAAACAGCTACATTAAGGTAGCAATACTTTTAGTTCCATCAATCACAAAGTGGCAAAGAGCAACTCTTTAGGGATTTCATTCGAAAATCGGGAGTGCATTAATAATAAAGAATGCTAATGGTAGGAAAAAACTATTATTTAAACAGATGGATTGGGGATTTTCACTGGCCTCTTGGTCTAGTGGTGAGTGATCCTACCTACTAAGCCAGAGTTCCTGGGTTCGATTCCCACAGGACAAATAATTGTGTGATGAGCACGACCATTGATTCTATACCTGTGTTTTTTTTACCTAATAAAAAAAAAACAGTGACACTCCGGGAGTGCCGTCAGAAGAAAAAAACCTTTTTTTTATTATGACAGAAATCTTTTGTATGTTTCGTTTAGAAAAATTCTGACATAAATATATTGTAAAAGTACATCGCAGGCTACCCTATGTTTTTGACAATATCCGTATAAAGGTTGTCTGTAAGAGATCGCCGCGAGCGATAAGGCAGCCGATTGTTATACGGAAATGTATTTAATATCTTTACAAATAATAAAGAGATAAATAAAATAAATAAATATATCTAGGTTGTACGTATACACATAATAAATGTTTATATTATATATAGTTATATTATCAATGTATTTAACCCAAACTCAACTCTCTTGTAAACGGGGCCAATATATGCAATCACTTATATACAGATGTGTCAGTAACGATAACAGTGTCGCGAGTTTAATGGTCACCATAGTGCAGGCTCTGCCTTGTTTGGGATTTCGTGTGATATTCATTGCTAAATAGACACAATCCTATCCGTTGAGGATGACGCTTCAGGCAGACACATTAAACTTAAAACCACTGTCCTTTTTGCGTCGTGGATTAAAACAAATGTTTCTAGACACATTATTGGAACGAAGTTCCTTATCGCGCGTTGTGAAAGGGGGCTAGACGGAAAAAAATCTTACGAAAATTGGTCACGACACTTTTTATTTTGAATTGTCACTTGTCAGTCATTCAGCGCCATCTATCGAATAGTAAAATTAAAATTTATGTTCTTAGGTTGAGCAAAAAATATTGTATTCGACATCATTTCTCAAGGAGATTTTACCAATGTATAAATTGTTTTAATTAGAAACCAACTGAAAAATATGTAGGTAATAGCCGCTTTCATAGATGGCGTTGTAATTAAAATCGTGTCTAATCAGTTTTACTCGATCGTAACAACTTCGTTCCAATCGGGTGTCCCACGACACCACACGGCTTTTTTGTTTTTTTCTTTCTGTCTTCTTTTGTGTTTATCTAACCAATACAACTTACAATTCCAGATCGCACATCACGCTTTATGCAATGATTATTGTCATGGATTTGTAGTAATATTTGATGCTAGAAATTTAGCCCTGAATCTAGTCACAAAATGTAATCCCATTACTATAAATAAAGGACTTATGTTACTCGTTGTAAGTATAAAGGACTATTGCATTAAATATTTCAATATAGTATTATTTGATAAATATATGAATTTAAGTTGATGTAATCTAACTCACTAGGTAAAAAGCAACGATCGGGGGAAAGCTTTTGGCTCCCCTCGGGAAAGGGGCTTGTAGGTGTGGCGTCGATCCGGGGGGGACCTGAAATCACATGGTCCGGGTCTTTCCCAGATTAGGGCGCCTGAGGCCGGCCGTCGGGGTGGTTTTTAGTTGAAACACCACATACTCCTGACTCCTACATCCCCTAGGAGCCGGAGATCTGAAGGAATTTTTCACGCCCTCACAAAAAAAAATATGAAAGCAAGGCAATAATTGCTTAACATTAGTTGTCTGTGAGGTCGTTTTGTCACCTGGTCGAGTTCGCCCATATTTGTGCCCGAGCATGGCTCTGAGATCAGGTTGATCTCTAGTATCCATATTTATTTATACTAGGGATCTGATCGAGGGAAATCGACCATAATTCATTTGGTTTATTTATTTCAGTCTATTTATTTATATCCAAGAAAACTTGAACTGTCGTTGTAAAGAATTACCTACCGTAACTGCTCACTATGGATACTCTTTTTCCTTTAACATTTTTTTTATGGCTTTGGGGGCAAACGAGCAGACCGGTCAACTGATGGAAAATTACTACCGCTGCTCATGAACGTCTGCAACTCAAGAGTCACAAACGCGTTGCCGGCCTGTGACTAAATAAATAGTACTGTAACGAGAAGGAAACCTTGACACAAACACCAGTCCAACCCGTCTGAATAGCGTGGTATAGTAGGACAAAACTTTCATTCTAAGAAGAGGCCTATGTCCAGCTATGGACTATTAAAGGCTGTTGATGTGATGATATCATTTTTTAAAATATTTATTTCGTTTTTATCCCTCTTCCCTCTAATTCTGGGAAAGGTATTCAAAGGTCGGTATCGTATTAAACGTGACTCTTAAATTGCCTGGGCTGCGATACTTACTTATACTCAGATGACCATCTGATCGTTTCCCGCTTTGCTAAGGAGGGAAGTGGATGTACTGTATTTCCAACTCCTCCAATTTTCTTCTGATTAATTTCGTTGCGGGTTCCAAGTTTAATTTCTTCCTGGGACTTCCCGAGTGTCATAACTCGGTGTGTTCGTGGGTCACTGCTGTGGATCCTGGTGTACAGAAGTTACAGTGGTGGGCGTGTGGGTGAGATTAGTCCCTATGATCGTTTTCTCCCTGTTTGATACAAGAACTCCGTTTAACGATTTTATTATCAGGTTAGATTGAAAAAAAAGTTTTAATTTCATAGGAAGCTATGGGCATGAGATTAAAAAAATTACATTTAATAAGCGGATCCAAGTTATTTGACACCTTCCTGATGATAGTCAAGCAGGGTCTCTCAGAAAAATTAAGGAACAGACTGATGGTGCATTCAACCGTCGAAGGTTTACAAGATTACATTCCCCGAGAACAATTGCCGGTAGACTTTGGAGGAGATGAGAGAAGTGTAAAGGAATTGAATGGTAAGTCTGGTGTGCATTTACATATACCGCTGTTACAGAGGTGTAATCACATTTTGGACTACATAAAAATGCGTGCGTGTATGTGAGTGGGTTTGTGCGTGTGTCTCGTGTGTGAGAGAGAGAGAGAATAGAGAAGAATTTTAAGGATCTACATATACGCACATATACATTGTAACAGAAATGAACATGCTAGAACCGACAAAAGTACGACTTTCAAAGTGTGCACAGTTCAATAAAAAAAATAGTTTTCCTGTTCCGAGTTTATAACATTTGTGTGTGCGTGTGTGTGTGATTGGTGTGTGTGTGCGTGTTTGTGTGTGTACGCGTTACATTGGCGTACTTACCGTATAACAATATATTAAACATGATTTTGGTCTCGAGGTCTTCTGAAACAGATAAACCTTTAATTCTATAAAAGGTTTTTCCTTTTGATAATATAACTTAAAGATGTTTTTGAATATTTTTTTCATGAAGTCCGTTTATAATAAGAAATTGTATAAATAATATAGATAACGTCAATTTTATTGTATTTCACAGATATGAATTTTGAAGAATGGAGTTCTGATAGTCACATAGCAAATGTTAAATTTATGGAGTCTGCTGCCACCGATGAATCCTCCAGGCTTGTTTGCAAATTCAATGAAGAATATTCTGGAATGCCAGGCTCTTTCAGGACGTTGTGCGTTGATTAGATTTTACAATAACGTACCGTAATAATAAATCATATATTTCGGGCTGTGTACTCTTAGATTAAAACCTTAGTTCAATATATCTATAATATTTTGAGTCACATAATATGGCTTGTACTAGTGCAGTCGGCAGAAGCGATGAACGTCACATTTTGTAACTAAAAGCTTTCATATAACACCTGGTGTGTATTTTACGTTGTAAGTTGTCTACTTATGGTGTACAATAAAGAGCACCTGTCTATTTATATATATTTGGTGCAGAAAACAGTTGTTTTAATATGCTTTAAAACGAGGAATAAATTGTGAAATAGGTAAATGCTGTCTTAAGATTTTCTAATTACCTTAATCTTATAATTTTCTAACAAGCAAATGCTTTTACCAATAACCCAACACAAAGGATAGAAAATATGTTTTAGTCGCTTTTTGGATTTTGTACAATGTTTAATACATATATGGAAAGTACTTGACTTTGTGTTGACAATTTTCATTTATTCTGTAAAAAAAAACACGTAAAGACAAAAATTGTTCAAAGGAATATGAAAAGCGCATCTCAACAATACATCAGAAACTTTTTGCCCACGATACTTTCTAAAAGTAAAAGAAAAAATACATAGAAAATCTTTATTATTTATTTCCCCACATCAGAAGAATGAAAAAGCGATTTGTTGTCAAGCTTAAGTAAAATTTTCAAGTTAATAGTAAATTAAAACTGTCTCAGTTAAACATTCTTCAGGAAAAACATGAGGCATTTAAGAAAACTGATTGACCATGTGACAGACATTAAAATTACTGGATTGCAGTTCTTAAAATAAAAACTAAGAAATTTGGTGCAGTCAATTATAATTTATTTATTAAAGACTTCCTGCAAATATATTGCATCAGGCGGACTTTATGCTACAAGCATTTTCTTCCAGTCAAACCTTTGGGTGTTGCAAAGCTGTGTGTAGCAGGTGTATATTTGGGACAGGTAAGGATGAATTTAAAAATGTTACAAAAGGAGAAGAAAAACACACTGATATATAGGTACTAGGTATACATACATATAAATATCATAATGTTATAAATATACATATATATGTATATTATTAAGTATATCTAGTTCTCAAGTATATCTAACACTTGAGAACTAGAAGAATAAGTGTTACCACATTCGAGCGCTTTTTATTCAACATTCTTACAAGAAAATTTCATAATATATTTTATAATTTCATTGTATCTCTCAACACGGATAAAACTAAAGCCTTCTCTAAAGGAAATTACATGGAAAAGAACTTTTAACAAAAGCTAACAAACTTGACACATACCGTTAAAGAACTAGAAATCAGTAATTAAAACTCAAACAAGGCTGGCTTTCTTGGCTTTATAGTTTGTAACTTCTGTATGAAACTTTGGTCTTAGGGGAAACTTTATTTTTTAGGAAAAAGACCAAGACGTTCAAAGGACTGTATCTCTTTAAAAAATTCCTAGAAGTTAAAACCACAATAAATATTTTGGGTCCTGGAAAAAATATTTTTATTATTATTGTATTTATAATTAAATATGTATTTAAGAAACCTCGCGAAATTTTCTACAAACAATTTGACAATGTGACAAACTGTGACAAACTCAAAATATCTTTATTTCTTAAAAAGAATATGTTTGAAATCGTCTCTTATGACTGTAGACGCTAAAGTCATAGATCAACACTCACAATAGCCTAACTCCGGTTTTGTTTTTGTTTTTTTTTTTTTTTTATTAAAATAATTATAACTTATACTAACATTAGTATGTAAGCAAACTATTATTAACATAATATCACATCACATCAACAGCCTTTAATAGTCCACTGCTGGACATAGGCATCTCCTTAGAAAGAAGGTTTTAACATAATATGGAAAAGAAATATTTCTGAAATAAATTATTATTTTTATAGCAACAATCTCTGTTTTGTCAAATAAATATTTAGCAGGATAAATAATATCGAAAGTCTATTATGTGCCTGTGCCGATCTACAACCGGCCGTTTCCAAGGGGTTCAGCCTTATGAGAAGAAATGGTAAACACTAACGCTCACTCTTTTTAAAATTAACTGATAGATATACTGATATAAATATGACACAACATTGTTTCGAAGTGTGCCAGTATGTCAGTTCTTAAGGACTAAAAGGTAAAAAGACAATGAAGAGAAAAACAAGCGTTCTAAAGTATTTAAATATTCAAACTGCAAATTCCTTATTCCGAAAGTTGCGATCATGGGAGAGCAATGAATCGGCACATACGGGCTGGCTCCACTCTAGTGACGGCTTCAAAGAAAACCTGTGTTAGGCAATTCTTACTACCAGGCTATTAGGCTCTTTTACATGGTGGAATTGGTGGAAACCCCCTCGGGCCTTTACCCAACCGAGGCTTGCGGCGTTGTGGTGTGTCGTAATCGGACCGACTAAAACCATAGGTGTGCCACTCTGCGCTGTAATAGAAGGGATCCGGAAACTGCTGTTATTAGGACGTCCGGAAGGCTACTTGACCAGACCCCAAATCTCCCCTGCCACTGGTTCTGGGAGGGGAGATTCAAAATCCAGCTACGACCTTGTGAATCTTGAATTGCAGATTTCCATACGCATAGTTACTTACTATGAAATAACCCGTCTGCTTGTTTCCTTCGTTTTTTTTTGTGAGCAAATGTGATCATAAACGAGGAAGTTAGTTAATATAAAAAAAGTTATATAAAATCAAATTGAGGGCTTCCTCCTTTTTTGAAGTCGGTTCAAAAACTCATAAATTACGCCTACGATTACGTATGATTTATGAGTTTTTGAACCGACTTTCACAGTAGCCAGACAGAGTTTTACAGAGTTGCAAGAAATCGGTGTAACCAGATGGTACGTAATGCTAAACGCCGCCATATTCTTAACAACATTAATTGCACAACAGCTTCAAGTATCTGGAGGCTCCTGGGGACCTTGGGTATCGGCAAGTCTGAAAAACATAATCTTCCGCCGACCTTTGATTTGGATGATATTAACCGTCATTTCACCTCCTCATCGCTCGATTGCCAAATCAAGGCTCGGACGTTACAGTTCCTGGCGGATCTGCCTCGTCCCAATATTGAAACATTTGAGTTTTCTCCGGTTGAACCAGGTGTGGTCAAAAAGATTATCCTCTCTATCAAATCCAATGCAATGGGAAGTGATAACATTAGCCGTCGCATGATTATTCCCATCCTCGATCACCTTCTTCCTGTGCTTACGCATGTAAAAATTTTTTTGCTTGACTCTGGGATTTTCCCCACAGCGTAGCGTAAAGCATTCGTCACTCCCCTTCCCAAGATCCCGAATCCTACACTCCTTAATTACCTTCGCCCTATATCCATTCTCCCCTTCCTCTCTAAAGTCCTCAAGGCCTGCGTGAACCAACAACTATCCCAACACATTTATCGAAACAACCTACTAAGCCCTTTTCTATCGGGGTTCAGGCCCGGGCATAGCACAACTTCTGCTCTGCTAAAAGTGACTGCTGACATCCGAGCTGGAATTGAAAAATCCAAAGTAACAGTGTTGGCTTTGGTTGACTTCTCTAATACATTCAACTCCGTCAGTCACGATATCCTTCTATCCATTCTGTCCTATCTTATGATTACTCCTGATACACTGGACTGGTTCTCGTCTTATCTTCAGGGGCGTCAACAGTCTGTCCGCGTCGATCAATCCTCTTCAGGTTGGCGTGAACTCGACTGTGGCAACCCTCAATGGGGCATTCTCTCTCCTCTATTATTTTCAATATTTATCAACCTCATCACTCCAAACCTTCAATGTGCGTACCATCTTTACGCAGATGATTTGCAGCTCTATTATCAAGCCTCGATAGACAACATAGACGAAGCCATCTTGATGTTAAACAACGACTGCGGGGCTATTAATGATTGGGCTAATAGGTTTGGTTTGACTGTGAACCCAGTGAAGAGTCAAGCCATTATCATAGGCAGTCAACGTATGATTGGATGGTTAGACCACCCCCGAGATGGCGTCTTGAGACGCAGGGCCATGTCGTGCGGTATTCCGCAGGGGTCTGTCCTAGGACCGCTCCTGTGGAACATTGGGTACGACTGGGCCCTACGAGGGCGTCTCTTCCCCGGACTGGGTGTAATCTGCTACGCGGATGACACCTTAGTCACGGCCCGGGGAGCTAACTTCCAGGAGGCGGCGCGCGTGGCCGCCACGGGAGTTTCTCTGGTGGTCGGGCGCATTGAGGCGTTTGGTTTGCTGGTGGCCCTGGATAAGACGGAGGCCCTACTATTCCATGGGCCCCGTCGTGGTCCACCCGCCTTCGCCTCAATCGAGGTAAGCTCGGTCGTTGTACCCTCTGGTCCTGGACGGTAGGTGGCTCTTCGACGAGCACTTCCGACAGCTTGGTCCAAAGTTGGTGGACGCTGCCTCCGCCCTAGGGCGACTTTTGCCAAATTAGCCATACGCGGATAACCCGCACGGTGTCCGCCGAGGCGGCTTGCGCCTTGGCCGGAACATCGAAGACGTGCGCGAGTGGCGCGAAGCCGCTCGCCGAGCCACCATGGTCAGATGGTCGTCCCGGCTGGAGACAACGCGTTTTCTTCGCCGCCGAGGAGGCTCTCCAGCCGGTCATCGCCGAGTGGGCAGGGCGACAGCGTGGGACCCTTTCCTTCCGGCTGACGCAGGTGGCTTCGGAAAGTACCTGCACTAAGTCGCCAGGAGGGAATTGAGTCCCGCCTGCCACCACTGCGACTGCAGTGAGGACTCGGCCCAGCACACGCTGGCGGTCTGCCCAGCATGGGCGACGCAGCGCCGGGCCCTCACTGCAGTCATCGTAGTGGATCTCTCGCTACCGGCCGTAGTACGCTCCATGGCCGGTAGCGACAGTTGTTTTACAGCGGTCGCAACCTTCTGGGAGGACGACCTCCACTCGGACCCGATCTGCCGCCGGCGAACCGGGCGGCGGAGGCGCGCTTACCTGCGCCTCATGCCGCCCTGAGTGTGACCGCGGGAGGACGGGATGGGTTCTCCCCTCCAACCGCATTAGTTTGGACAGCCGCGAGGGGGCGGCGTCCGCGTGTGCCGGACGTCGCCTAAAGAAAAAAACTACCTGGACCCCCCCTAAAACAAAAGCGCAAAGAGGGCACGCCGTGTGGTTTTGGTCGGTTCGAGTCCGACACACCGCCCCGCCGAACAGAGAGCCCCGGCGGGGTGACGGTCCGAGGGGATTTCCACACGTAAAAAAAAAAAAGGAAAGAATGCCACCCATTACCTTTAACGGCATAGTCATCCCTTATAGTACTGCCGCTAAGAACCTAGGCCTAATAATCGACTCCAAGCTCAGCTGGCAAACCCAGGTCACGAGCGTCAGCCAGAGAGTCACTTGTACGCTACGGGCCCTTTATCGACTCAAGAATTTCCTCCCCTCCGAGACAAAAGCGATGCTTGTACAGACCCTTATTGTCCCCATCCTGGATTATGGTGATGTATGCTATTATGACCTGAATGCAGACCTACTCAATAAATATGACCGCCTTCTGAATAACTGCATTCGATTCGTCTTCAACCTTCGCAAATATGACCATTTTTCCTCCTTTCGTCGCGATTTGAACTGGCTCACTATTCGCCAGCGCCGACACCTGCACGCCCTCACCACTCTCTATTCCATTATCTACTCACCCATTTCCCCTTCCTACCTGACATCTTCATTCCAATTTCTGTGCTTCAACCACGATAGAACCCTCCGGTCAGCTAACAATCCTCTTCTGCTCTGCCCACCCATACTTCCGCTTGTGTACACTCCTTGTTCCTAATCCAATCCGTACTCCTCTGGAATACTCTCCCTCTCGAAGTCAGGATAGCACCCAGCCGCCTCTCATTCAAGATGAAAGCTAGAGCTCGCATCCTGGACACGCTAGCAGATTCATCACAACCTTGAAATTTTATATATTATTGATTTTTAGGTTTATGTATGTATGTTGCTATATAAGTATTTGTGTATGTGTATGTATTTGGTACGTATGAATGTATGTATATTTATCGCATTACTTCTACCTAAATTATCAATCATTTTCTGTTACTTCTCCTATTAATGTCTAGTGCACCTAGCCACACATTTCAGCACCACCCTAAGGTACACTGGGAGAAAATGCCTATTGCATTAAGTCCGCCAATGTACTACTTGTGCATAAAGAATAAAAATAAATAAATAAACACGTGGTTTTTTCTCAAGAAACACTTATTTTTTTATATTTAGACAACATTCCATATGTCCGATTTGTGGTAATTATTCTTTTGTTGGGCAAAAATCCCATAGCTAAATTAATTAACTATTATCACAAGAATAATAATAGCACAAAAAAAATACGAAAAATAAAATCTATGTAAAGGACACTTCCACGTTTTTTATAAGTTATATTGTATAACATTATACATTATATAAGTGGTATGTTTTCAAGTTCCTTCACACTCCATGTTGAGGGTTTCAGAAGAAGACATGGAAGAACTAAAACCTAACCCTATTTTAAACTTTAATGAAGGTCAATTACAAAGCGTCCGACAAATTGTGGGATATGAAGATGTCAACAAGCTAAAACAAGATCTCGAGCTGTTGATAGATTGGATAAAAAAACAGAATCACTTCGGCGTAAAAGAGTTTGGTATGTATTAAATAATTAATTCCTGTGAATCGTTAATACTCATTAAAGCATTAATATTAAGATATAGTTTTAAAAATCCTGGCATTTCGAGCTACTGCAGACTCTTTTCGTTAGTGCCTATTCTAGGTTTACAGTATCTTTTAACCAACTCGCTTACACTATCCGTTTTCTTTCCCTTTTTTTATTGTGATTGATCGAACTCCTTGCGCCGTGTCCTACAACGAAAGTGCGTGTTTATTTGTAATTGGACAACTGTCTTCAATTCTCGTTTACTTCTAAAGTGTTCTTATACAACGACGCCGCCCAGTAAGCAGTCCTAGAGTGAAATAAAGATATTATTGTGAGCTTCAAACGAATTGCAAAGATCCTGACTGGACCCCTCTCCCCTCACACCGAGGATTTGATCCTGCGACTCATTGAACCTGCGACTCATTGAACCAGCGCCCCATCGCCTACCTGCTCGCGTACGTAGCCGTTACTGACTGCTGACTGACCAATAAATTAAAGCGCCGCGCTGGCGTCCTCGTGTGATTACGGGCGGACTCGGTGTCTCGGATACCTTGAACCAAACATTGAACCAAAGGTAAATAACACTACTCGTTCCAAACGTGTGTGCACCGATCACTCACCTAAAACAATGATGTCTCGGCCTTCCTGCGAATGCAATAATCTCAAAACTGAACTTATGGCGTTACTCTCTTCTTGGAAGGCTGACCAAGATATTAGATTTTCTGCCTGGAAAGATGATCAAGACAAAATGCTCGCATCTTTAATTAGAGATGTATCTGAACTCAAACTACAATGCACAGAAATTCTAAAAACCACGAAGGATTTGGAAAATAGTCTGACGTATATATATAAAGATTACGAAGAAATTAAAGGAAGGATCTCTGCGCTAGATAGGTAGACTTCCGATAAAGACGAAACCATTAAACATTTGGAAAAGCAGATTCAAGACCTAAGCCTTCAGTCTCGCACGGCTACGATTGAACTTCGAATTGTTCCGATAAAAGAAAACGGAGAGCCAATGACCTTGTAACATAACCTGGAGATATGCGAATCAAGTTTGCGAGATATTTATAGTCTGTCCGGGAAACCTGGTATCAAATCCTTTCCGTGTCATTTCTTACTTACTGCATCTCTGCGTGGGGAGTTACCTGTAAGACCTTACTACTTCGAGCGAGCTCAAAGGGCAATCCTAAAAGTGATGCATTTCAAACGCAGGGATTATCCAACCAATTTGCTGTACTCAGAGTGCAGAGTTCTTACCGTACGCCAACTTTTCGTCCTACGTACTGTGCTGCGCCTACACTCCTCTCTTCTACTTGACAACAATGTCCTTGTTAGACGGAAGGTCACCGCGGTTTGTGTCCCCGTCCCGTGTTGTATCACTTTTGCAAGTCGTTAGTTTATCGTCCAAAGTGCACGTCTTTACAGCAAAATCAATCGTATTCTTAGCATACACTTGCTTAGTATGCACTTGCGGGCTATTTGCAGAAATTGTCATAGGATAACACAGAAAGGCTTATCTTTGCATTTTCATAACTGTTTATAGGCATAACACATGATGTTTTTCAATATTCTCTATAACTATTCCTGTGTACATCCTATTGAATAAATCTATGACGTTGTATAGATTGTTATCCATAAATTATACGACTCCTAAGATACCGGTTTCTTACTTAGTTTAGAAGTCTGTCGTAACTGACCGGTATTTGTGATCATTTCACTACTTGAGCTCTGTTATACCTGTGCATATCATGTATTATGTGCTGTGCTTAAGCTATTATTTTTATTGTCCTATCTGTAAACGATAACTTTATACATCAAAATTTTGATTTTATTTAGTGTGATGGTCTAGTACTATCAGGAATTAAGATAAAATAAATACGCTATAATATTTTTTTTATAGATCCAGAGTACTTAGAACGTGTTCTGATCTACAATAAGGGATCTATTGAAAACGCTAAACTGCGGATAGAAAAAACATGCACATATGTAAATTTGATGCCAGAGTTCTTGAAAAATTATGAATTCGGAAACGACTTTCAGCCTTTACTCAATATTGTGTAAGTTTCAATAATAATTCAAATCTGGAGCGATGATAAAGATGATGAATTGATGAAACCAATCATAGCATCAGCATAATAATGACTTTGCTTATTTTCAGAAACATATGTGTATTACCAAAACCAACCAGAGATAATTATAGAATACTAATTTCACAATTTACTGGAATCGAAGACAATAAATTCGATATTCTAGATTATTATCGATATCACGTGGTTGTAAGTATATTTTATTTCCTTGCTATATTTTTATATTTTAAATAACATTTTTTTATATTCTGATATCAAAAGTGCCATCTGCATCTTTAAGAAGAGATTCTGTCGTCTGATTTCAGTGTCAATATCGTATTAAATATATTTCTGTATGTAAATTATATATCTGAACTAAATATAAAGACATGTTTATACTAACTTGTGGAACCTAAAATATAATATAATGGGTTCTGCACCAGCTTCATTTGTTTTAACTCGGAAGAGTTGGACTCTTCATAATGAGGCATGTATTCCGCTCTCGAACTGTAGTACGAGAACGAAACCAGATCTCTTCGTATTGTTATTATTACATTTTAATATTTATAATCTCGTAACATATGTAAAATTGAGGTTGAGGTTCATTCCAATAAAATTGAACGCGTGCAAAAAAGATTTATGTACCACCTGGCATATAAATTTAACTTGTCAAAGAAGCTTACTAGTTACACAAACCGACTAACTCATTTCAACTTAACATCATTGAAAAAGCGGCGAAAAATTTTAGATCTATCTTTTCTTCACAAGCTAGTTAACGGTAATATCAATTGTCCTAGTCTGCTACAAAAACTTAACTTCACTATCACCCATAAACTTCCACGACTGTCCAGATACTCCTTGTTCACACCTAAGCGATCCAAAACTAACCTTGGCCTTTTCTCTTCTTTAAATAGGCTCCAGGCAGAATATAATTCAATAAGTAAAAATAAGGATATCGATGTGTTTAGATTAAGTTTACCTTCTTTTAAAAAGAAAATATTGTTGTTAAGCTGAGATATATTTTATGTATAAGGACCTTTGTTTGTTTTATGTTGTAGATTTTTTAAGTAGTTATTCTGTAAGAAAGTGCCTGTTCAGGTCTTTCTTTTTTCTCTTCTTTTTTAAGTTAGGGGAAGCCTTACGCTCCCAACTCTCTGTTATTACTATGCTTTCCGTGGCAACCTGTAATTAAGGCAGCACTAATAGTTGTATCTCATTTTCATTGTATCTCTTGCTTTTAAGGTGTATGTTCTTGTTGGTTGTCCAAATAAATAAATAAATAAATAAATAAATAAATAAATAAATTTGCGTATTCCGATTACACCGGCTCCTACGTTTGTAAAATTTATCTCAAAATATAAAGAACCAGCTTTTCCCGCACGTCATCACCATCACATCAACAGCCTATAATAGTCCACTGCTGGACATAGGCCTTTCCTTAGAAAGGAGGTTATGGCCTACTATACCACGCTGGCCAGTCGGGCTGATATAGGGTTGGTGTCAAGTTTTCCTTCTTTTTGCAGTGCTGGTGTCTTGCGTTGTTTTGCTCCCTTAGTCGGCTCTAAGGATACCATATATCCATACTGCATTTATAATGTTAGTATGGATTGATTACGTCTTAATATTTATAAGAAGATTGTCCGTGTAGTGACGGATTAAGAATACTATATAATATATATATAATTGTGTGATCCACAAATTGTTGTTCTAAGTCTGGGTGTTCTTTGTGTCCGTTTCATGTACATATGTTTGTAAAGTCCCACGCGACACAGGATATATTCCTAATGCGGGAGTTGTCTTTTTAAAAAAAAATATACGGAATGTCACTACCCCAATTTATCCCGTAGGTGTCTTAAGGGCGCAAAACAACGCAGGCCACCACCACTGCAAAAAGAAGGAAAACTTGACACAAACCTTATGCCAACCCGTCCGGCCAGCGTGGTATAGTAGGCCAATTCCTCCTTTTTAATGAGAGGCCTATGTCCAGCAGTGTACTATTAAAGGCTGTTGATGTGAAGAAGATTAGTTCTACGACAAATTTTACCGTTGGTTTTCATTCCGCAATTGAAATTTCGCGTACTATTCGGATATTTTTATTTATTTTTTTCAGATTGGCTTACATACATTGTACTATGACTACTGTGTAGGGTTTGAACTGATTATTGACCTGAGAATGCTGACTTTGGGGATTGTGACAAAATTTAATCCAGTAACTATGAAAAAGGGTCTTACGTTAATAGTTGTAAGTATCAGTGTATATTGTACCATACACAACTGTATGCTGCCAATCTAGGCAGAGCCTGTACTAGACTAAACTAAACATACCTATAAATTTCTAAAGGTTAACATATGCGATAAGATAAATTACAGTCACATCCACACACGGAATAAACATTCCGTGTGTGGATGTAATCATCGTATATGTAGTTATTGGCTTGTCCACTAAATTAACATGCAAGTATTGATAGTCTCATAGTCTTGTTCGATGGTGAAGCTACTTATAAAGTTTTGACCACAACCGTCTATTGTATCATAAGTATAACACATTTCACAAAACTAGAAGTTATGTAAACACATATATATATTTATGATTTCATGTCTTAAAAATTGCCCTTTATTACATATTTTCAAAAGGTTTTTGAAGTCCTATTAAGTAGCTTTCTTGTGGTACTGTCATCAACTCTTTACTCACGTGCAAACAATTTATATTTCTGGGAAAAAAATTAAAAAAAATATTCCAATATATATATATACTCGTATTTTGTAAAATTTTATTGGTATGTCTAATAATAAAAAAATATTATCACAGGAAACTACGGGTGAGAGAGTAAAAAAGGTTCATTTATTAAGCGGATCAAAATTTTTGAAAACTATCATATTATTAGCCAAGCAAGGTCTCTCTGCAAAACTGAGGGAAAGGCTTGTACTACATAATAACATTGAAAGTTTGTATGACCACATACCAAGGGAAGAGTTACCTAAGAACTATGGCGGATACGAAAAAAGTACCAAAGAATTAAGTGGTAAGTTTCTACAAACTGAAATGTTTCATCATCATCTGCTTTTATTAATCCACTGTTAGACACAGGCCTCTCCTTGGAAAGCAGGTTTTGGCCTACTATGACACGATGGCCAGACGGGTTGGTATAGGGTTTGTGTCAAGTTTTCCTTCTCTTTGCAGTAGTGTTGTGCTGCATAGTTTACTCAGACACCCAAGCGATAAATATACGTGGCGACACTCCGTATTCTTAATCCGTCACCACACAAACAGATATACGGACAAATGTAATGTTTACTATTTTAAAATCAACAACTTAGTTATGTTCTTCTTGGCAGTTACTAGACTAGAGTAGAGATTATTTGCATAAAGGAAATAAATCTATAAGATTAACAAATTTATGTGACGGCGTCTTCACATAGCCAGACAATATCAAACGTGAGTGCGCAGAGATCTGACAAGTATGAAAAGAAAAACTTCATTAAGACAGTTGACAGAAAAGCTGGCAAATTGTTAATCAAATACATACAGTTGAAATTACAGTAGCTTGTAGTCGAAAAGTCAGAAATGGATTAACAGAAGTCGGCTTCCTTCATAAATTCAGGTGGCTTAGAACGGTGCCATGCTCATCGTCATGTCATCATCACTTCGTCTGCGCCTCTCAAAAGGAATACTTTTTCCCCGGTTTTACAACATTTTTCTTTGATGCTCGGCTCCTATTCGTCTTAGCGTAATGTTTTATATCTATTTTTCAATTCGAGTACTTCAAGCTGACATTCAGCTGACGTTCAGCTGATGTTAGCGCGTTCAACCAAACAACCCAACTCTTCAACTTAATAATATTAGTTTAAATTTTGCAAGTACACACCTCCCTCTATTTTATCGTCAATAAATCAATTTCCACGTAAGTGGCACCTGCATAGGCTGAAGTCCATAATTAAAAATTCTTTTTTTTAATTTACAGATATGAATTACGAAGAATGGAGTTCAGATATTCACAAAGCAAGACTAAAACTGTTAGAGAATTCTGCCACCGATGAGTCTCTTAGGCTACCCTGCAAATTCAATGAAGAATATTCTGGAATGCCAGGATCCTTTAAAAAATTATGTGTAGATTAAATGTTGTCTCAATATCAGCTGTTCCCGGACCCCACCTGTCTCAAGCACGGAGTGGAACACTGTGTGATTACAGTCGGTTCGATTCCCATATACCGCCCTGCCGCAAATCCCGGTGGAGTGACGGCCCGAGGGGCTTCAACAAGTAAAAATATATTTATACAATATATTTGCATACAGTTCTGATGACAAAAAATACAATCTAGTCTCAGTATCATCTCAGTTCAATCTCATAACGATCTACTTACTGATATAGATAAAAATATGCAGTAGTACACAAAACAGATTCAGAATGTTTAAAAATTGTTAGTTCCATGACTTTATAACTTCAAAACTTGTTTTGTTTTTCAACAAATCACTATAGGCAAATTATAATTCAAAAGTATTTTTTATAAACCTGAAATAAATAAAAAATAATGCATAGAGATATAAGCATAGAGTGAACACGAGGTACAACTGCCTGTGAGTGGAAGCGATATATACACCAAGAGTGATGAATGCCTAATATAGATAGTTCAACTCAGTTGTGCGCGCGGCCCTATATGTGCGTGGGCTTGTAAATATACAACTTTCATACGTGTGGCAGTCGTCGTCCGAGCACCGCGTCACACATAGGGCCGCGCGCACAACTGAGTTGAACTATCTATAGTTCCCTTTGTCTCTGTTTAACTAAGTTGCGATTGGCTATCGTGAAGTGAGCATGGTTTTGATGGTAGAACAGGCGGGAGATTAGAAATTTCTTAATAACAATGGGCGTAAGTAATTCAAACTCAAGTTACACAAAAGACGTAACTGAAAAACTTGAGGTGAATATTTAAAAGCCATGTAAATGTTTAAACGCACAAGTAGCAAAGTAATTTTAAGCAGGAATTCTAAACGACAGTTTAAACTGAATAACCTCAATTGAAAAACATGAGGTAATGTGTACATAAAAACAACTTAAAATTAGAACATCCTGCTAAACAGTATTTTAAAAATAAAAGCATTATCTATAAAAACGTTTAATCTCTTTAATCATTTAAAATGAAATTGAAAACCTAGCCACATTTTTCGTTTTGAATTTACTGCTTTTCATTAAAAAGCGTTTACAGTTTGGCAAAATTAAAAAAAACAACTCAGTATCCCTTATTAACATCATATTCCCCAGCCAATCACATAGCTCGACTAAAAAGGATAGAGGGAACTATCTAGCATCCATCTCTCTTGGCTCTTTGCAAGTACAACACACCTGACTCCGTTTTAGGAACCTTTTGTTTTATATTAGTAAACTGCAGTTTGCCTGCGGGGGTCGTCTACTCGTCTGTAGATGACCCGAGGTATGTCGGGGCACCAGGGCCTTCCTTTCTAGGGTAAACCTGGTTCCCCGGCTATTAGTACCCGGCGAAGGCGTGCGGTTTTAGTCGGTTCGAGTCCGACATGCCACCGACAGGTGGTATCCGAGGGGATTTCCGCACGGAAAAAAAAAAAAAAAAAAAAGGCTGCAGTTTGCCTTTGTCAGTCAAGTATAATCCAATTTCAGCAGTTTACTTATATTTATATGTATGTGTATATTTACCGAATAAGTAACTACGAAGATCCTTTAATTTATTATTGTTCACCATTTCTGGCTTTTCTATTGTACTGGCATCAGGATGATGATGACAGACATGACACCATAGAAGATATTTTTGTGGAGGGATATACCCTCACAGTGTGTATTACATCATTTCAGTGACTCTGAAAATGTGGCCATTGAGAAATTGTAATTAGGTTGGTGTCAATGTATTACTACAAGAGTGTAATATTTGTTATTTCAGTGAACCTGGAATATATCTTTCCAGTGAGTTAGTAATACATAATTATAATCTAATTTATCCTTTACTCAATATAGAAGTAGTAGAAACAAAATGAAAATGTAAGTGCCTTCATATATTATATTAAACAGTAAATAATAACAAATAAAAAAAAACTGGCGGTAGCATTGTATTTGACAAATCATTTGATCACACGTCAACAGCCTTTAATAGTCCACTGCTGGACATAGGCCTCTCCTTAGAAAGGAGGTTTTGGTCTACGCCACGCTGGCCAGACGGGTTGGTATAGGGTTTGTTTCAAGTTTTCCTTCTCTTTGCAGTACTCTTGTCTTGCAGAATTTGCTCCCTTGGTCGGCTCTTACGTTACTCGCGGGATAAATATAGGTGGTGACACTCCGTATAGAAATTAAATGAAATGATATTTATTTCTGCAAGTAAATCTTTTCAGATATTTTTACAAGTCGGACTTTACAGCTAGAAGGCGCCGGCAGTTCATAAGATTCGCACTGGAAAGAGACGCCGAAACAAACAACAGAAGTGCCTTTTTTTTAAGTCCGTGAACATTGTTCACGGATAAATATAACTATGTGAATGCAGTATTCTTAATCTGTCATCGCATGGATCTCTACCTTATTTACTCGTAAAATGGTCTTAAGCTTGTTTCTAATATCCGTATCTAATATTGCTTACAGCCAGAACAGATCTATAATATAAATACTAGAATTTATTCTGAATCCCCGACGACGACCAACGACAGTCGTTTCAAAGTAGTAAAAAGATCTATTTCTGTAGACTGCGCCGTTTGAACGAGAAATAAAAGTTAAATTAAGAAGAATGAACTTTTAAATTTATTTTGAAGTATGAACAGTTCAATACTGGGTTTTTGTACGTTCGTAAAACTACTACTAGCAAAGGAAATGTCGTTTTTGTATGAACGTTGGTTTTTTATTCAGTAAAATCCATCATTTTTCAAATTGCACTAGTATAATTAGCAGCTAAAATTAGGAATTGAAAATTAGTTAGCTAACAATTTTTAAAGATTGCATTAAAGAGAAAAATAAAAGTTATTTTATGTTAGTAGATATTTTTATTGAAGGATGGCAATACTAAATATGCTATTGAAATTTAATTCATTCATTCATTTTTATTTTTAATTAGTTAATTTACTAAATTAATCATTAATAGGTAACACCTGAACATGAGTTAGAGAATAGAACAGAATAATCTTTATTTTACACCAGTTCAGTACAATGGCGTTATACATACAATAGTATTCCAAGTTAATGAACATGTACAAATGGCGGCCTTATCGCTAAAAAGCAATCTCTTACAGGCAACCTTTGGATGGACAAATAGACTGTAAAAAGGTAATTTCATGGGCAATTTTGGTGTGAAAAAAAGACGACATAGACCTATGACGTAGTCTATTAATTTCCCTTTACATTTATAGAAATTTAACAATCCTTCGTAGCAAACGCTAACTAAATTTAATCATTATCCATACGTCAAGCGTGGTGCCGAGAGACAATTGTCAAACTTCTCATAATATTTTTTATTTGGCATCGGTAGCAAAAAATTGTTCATGCGAAAATAGTACTAAATTAAAATGTCATTTATTAAATTAAAATATTAGTTCTTAGGAAGCCTGTCAAAAAATGTTTGGGTCATCGCTACTGGAATTTTTCAAGAATCATTTCTAGACGACTTCAAATATTTTCTTGCTGATTTGCTCATATTAAATTTATTTTTCTATCTGTACGTATCTATCTATATTAATACAAACTTCCTACATTGCTAGGTATAAGTAGGATAAGCAAAATGATCTCCTCCCATTACGAATGCTTGCGTGAGGGTGCGGATGGGGTCACCTGTCGTCCTAGGAGAAGTAGGTCCAATCCAAATGTGAGGAAACTGAGCCCTCCGCAATGACAGTGACATTGCTGGGGTTCACAGAAATTTTTAAAATATACTTATTTTACTGAACGCCTTTGGTTGTACATAAACACTTTCTATTACTTATTTACTTTTAATATTATTCTTGCCACAATTAATTTAAAGAATACTTGTACATTATTTACTAGCTGTATACAAAATTAATTTGTAAGTAATTTTTCTTTGTACAATTAATCTACAGTTAATGATTTGAACGACCCAGGCATTCCAGAATATTCTTCATTAAAAGCGCATGGTAATCGACAAGATTCATCTGTTGCTGCTTGCTCCATGAACTTCAAATAAGCTATATGCTCATCGGAGCTCAGTTCCTTGCGCAAATTGTCTGAAAAATAATAATAAATACATAAGTAGAAATATATATATATCTGAAGACCTCCGTTGGTTGTTAAAATCGTTAAATTGAAGTATAAAGTTGTTTAAGAACCTATGGTACAGACTGTGCCTAGTGTGGATCACAATAGCGATGTCTTAGATGTCCAAGTATGGTTAAACAAGTGAGATATTCAAAACATATTGCAAAATAAATGTAGTAATATTTTGAATTAATAAAAAAAGTCCTATAATATAATAATATAATTTTTGGCACAACTGACACACAACGCCACCTAGTTTCTAAACTAAGCAGAGCTTAACTACGAAAGCTAGATTAGAATACTTGTAGACTTTTTTTGTAACATATTATACATGAAAAACACCCAAACTCCGAAACAAATATTTGCAGATCATAAAAACATTTGGTCTGAGCCGGGGAATCGAACCCGAGACCTCAGTACAACAGTACACTACCACTGCACCACGGAAGCAGTCAATTTCTATGTACATAAAAAAAACCTTTAAAGAGAACGATAAGAACATTTTTTTGGTTTTTATTTTTTTTCTCTCATAAAGATATGAGCTTAAATTTAAGGATCTTGAACACAGATGAAAATTATTATATACATTTAAATACATTGTTGGTTGGTTGTCAGTTTTATTTGTCCCAGCTTTTACCTGCGGTTCCGCCCGTATTATTCGCTGATAACGTCACTTTCCATCAGAGAAACAGATTTTTTTAAATCGGTTTTTTGGTTTAGGCGTAAAAGCGTAACAAACATACAAACACACTTTCACATTTATGATATAGGTATGGATGTACCTATATTGATCGACGGCGACATCAATATAGGTATGAATACCTATATTGATGTCGCCCTGCGGCACGATGGACCAGCGGCACTCCTTGGGGTGGCCTTCGTTCAGCATTGACGAAATAATAGGGGTTAAAGTATGAAATAGCTGTTGTACTGTAATATATACTTTGAATTGACATAAAACCTTCATGGTGTGTGATATTCGTGTGAATCATTTTTCACATGATACCTATGATATACTCAATATCAACGCTGCGTTTAGAGAGGAGGCTGCTAATGAACGCACCGTGCGTTTTTGATTTTAAAGCTTTCGTAATGGAAACTTCGATTTGAAGAATGAACCACGTGGAAAACCGGCTACACAGGAGAATAACGCTGAATTGAAGGAGATAGTGGAAGCTGATCCTAATCAAACTGCAAAGGAATTAGCGCCATGGTTTAACGTTATCCTACCTACAATATTGACTTATTTGCATCAAATCAATAAGATAAAAAAGTATGAAAAATGGGTGCCTGATGACTGATCTGCAGAAAGAAATGCGTGTTGAAACTTATGTTGCCTTTTTGAATCAGTAAAGAAATGAAGGAATATTGGATCGAATTGTGACATGTGACGAAAAGTGGATTGAAACCGTAAGCGGAAAATGCCTACCAATAAAAAGGTAATGGTAACTGTTTAGTGGTGTCTCCATGGTGTTGTTCTCTATAGCTTTCTCAGGTCTGGTCAGGCAATAATAGCATATGTTAACTGTGCGGAACTTCGAACAATGATAGCGAAACTGGCAATGAAAGCCCCGACTCGTGAATCGATCTTCACCATTATTGCTCCACGATAACGCAAGACCTAACACTGTACCAGAAACCGTTGTAACTGTACAGGAGCTGCAGTTAAAAACCATACGTCATCCTCCGTACTCACCAGACCTTGCTCCAACGGACTACCATTTTTTTCGTGATTTGGACAGCTTTCTGATCGTGATCAAAAAAAAATCTGCATAGGAGGCAGTATAAAATGTTTTCACACAGTTTGTCGAATCTAGATCCTAAGAGTTCAATAGAAGAGGCATAAATGAACTTCCGTTTAGATGGCAGCAATGTATAGATAATGAGGCTAAATATATTGATTAAATAAAAACGCTATATCTTAGAAAAAAACGAGTTTCAATTTTTCAGTACAAATCGGCAATTTCATACTTTACCTTTACCTCTAATATGACAGTAAAGTAACTAACCAGTTAATTCTTTAACAGACAAGGCATCTCCACCGTAGTCCTTTGGAACATGTTCTTTTGGTATGTGGTTGTACAAACCTTCATAATCTGAATGTACTACAATTCTTTCTTTTAATTTAGCAGACAAAGCTTGCTTAGTGAGGAAAAGAACCGCTTCGAAGAATTTGGAATTGTTAAAGAAATGTATTTTTTTTATTCTTTGTCCTAAACAATCCTGAAACAACAACATTTATTATTTACGAAAAGTATGTCGAAACAAAGGACAATAAGTAGCCTTATAGTCTCAATTTGTCAGTCTGAAAAACTGTAGGAGAAATTAAAATCTATTGTGTTTTTTTTCTAATAGGTCACACATTCCTAGAAATACTAGGGAAGAAGTGTGACCCACAGTTCTATATCAGATGTGAGTTTAAGTCGCGCGCAGCCGACTCACGCCGCGTTTGTGACTTGCAGTGCTATTCTCTAAGGAAACAGACTTGCGTGCAGCACTCCCACAGCGTCGAACTTCAAACTAGATTCATTTGAAAGTCGAAGCTACAGCGCTGTCACAGCGTCGAATTCCAAATTAAGTTAGTTTGAAGTTCGACGCTGTGGCAGCGCTGCACGCAAGGCTGTTTCCTTAGAGAATAGCCCTGCTGCTCCTTCTTTGCTTGTGATACGCTAGCGGGGGGTGAGGTAACGTTTGCATACCTACACATCGCGTTGAAAGAGGGCCTTAATAACGAACCGGTTATTTACCAAGAGATAGATTTACAATTCAAGCTTAGTAAAAATAAAATCGATCTATTCAGATTATGAAGAGCATAATATTATAGATAAACACATGTAATTATATGTTAAAATGAACCTTTTAAAGGAATGCGTTCAAATCAAGGCGATTACATATTAATAGGTGTTGCAGGCACACATATCTTTAAATTGGTTGGCCTTTAAATCAGGTTGTATTTTACCTGGTCACGGTTCAGGTAGAATGGATAAATTAAATGTAAGTTAAGATTGACACATAATAATATTGACTATAGAAAAAAATGATATTATAACACTAAACATTTAAAGTAATTTAGAAACCTTTGGTTATTTAAATGGAGATGATTTTTAATTGGAATAAAATGACTTAAGACTCACGGTAAGTAACATCAGGCCCTTGTGTAATACCATTGGATTAATCGTCGTTATAGTTTTGGCGGTAATCTTTCTTATGTCAGACACTATTTCGAAGCCCTGGCAGTAGTCGTGAGTTAAAAAATAATATATAATCTGAAATGTAATTTAAAAGATTTTTATTCATTTTCTCTGTGCACAAGCTCTGTGTAGTTCGAAATCAGACGGCTGTGTGTGAGAAAAAAATTTATCCTAGATACAAAATCTTATAAAACTATACTAAATTAAAATTACTCTTGCTCCTAAATATAACAAAAAAGTACTGTCATATTTGCTTTTGAAGATTTTTGATGCCAAATTAAAAGCTATTTCTTTTTACATATTTAAATTTTCAACTTGAAATTCAATTTGCTATTTTCGACTTCTAAATTGTAACAAAATTTTCTGATTTTGGATTTATTCTTAGGTACGTCACTTCGTTACTAAAATTAAAATAATATTTTACAATATTTTTCACATTCGTTGTTTTTTTTATTTCATTTAATTTACTCGTGTATTTTAACAATTATTTATACAGAACGAATAGGAAATTCATTTTTTTTAATCACTTCAAGTGAAAATCTTACTAAATTAGATACTAAAATCATTTTATTACTAATAAGACCTATTTCTTAGCGTTCCATGTATTCACCGTACGGTTGCGGGGCCATTGCGTGATAGATGGGTCAATACATGAGACTTTGATAGGGCGTAGGAATAGCGACCCAGGAATTTTAGGTTTAGGGAGTACTCCTTGCGACGCGACGCTCACCTCTACTGTTTGCTGTGTAACCCCCCCTACCTAACCATATTTGACACGAGCCTAGCAATGCCGCTTCGGATATTCGTTTAAGAAAAGAGTTTACTGAAACTCTTGGCAATCCCAGGTCTTTAAGCAGGTTATATAGGAATTTAGCTGGTATACCCCTCGCACCCACTTCCACGGCATACAACGCAACGAAATAACCATTTTTATTTATTTCGTTGGTTAAGTAAAAGTACTTGTTTCTTTTTAAAGCGTGGTCTTTAGGAATGTTCGTTTCCCACGGCACCGTGGTACTAGTAGGTACTACACGCTTAATTGACATTGCATAAAGAAATAATATGTCTGGTCTGGACGCCGAGGCACAGATATCCGATCCGACAGATATATTCTGTAATGATTTTCATACGTGTCCACTAATAATGTCCGTTAATGTAATTTAATATCCATATTTAAGAACAGTGCTCAACAATTGTCCAATAATTTTATTTTATTTTGAATTTTATTTATAATATATTACTTATATTATAAATAAAATTCAAATATATTACTTATAGAGGTGAGGATGAGGTATGCAAGTTGGAATGTAGGGACTATGACTGGAAGAGCGAGAGAGCTAGCAAATGTGTTGAAAAGAAGAAGAATAAACGTGGCATGCTTGCAAGAAACAAATTGGAAGGGTACGAAAGCAAGAGAGATAGGAGAGGGGTACAAGTTTTATTACTGCGGAAGTGATGGGAAGTGAAATGGAGTGGGCGTAGTATTGGATAGTGCCCTGAAAGAGTGTGTGACGGATGTAAAGAGAGTGAACGATAGAATAATAGTATTAAAATTAGTATGGGAGAGCGTAATTATGAATATTGTTAGCGTGTATGCACCTCAAGCTGGATGCAAGGATGAAGTGAAAGAAAAATTTTGGGCCGATTTTGACATGGTTTTGATAGGTATCCCTGAAAGTGAAGAACTTTTGATAGGTGGAGATTTTAATGGTCATGTGGGAACAACGAATGAGGATTATGAAAGAGTACATGGAGGAAGGGGGTTCGGAAGTAGAAACATTGATGGTGAGTCTCTGCTCCAGTTTTCCTCTTCGTTTGACCTGGCAATAGTTAACACATGGTTCCAAAAACGTCACGAACATCTGATCACGTATAAAAGTGGTAGCCACGCGACACAGATCGACTACTTTCTCATAAAAAGAAGTAAGTTGGTTTGTGTCCGAGACTGCAAAGTGGTGCCCGGGGAACCCGTAGTATCGCAACATAGATTGCTGGTAATGGTGGTCAAATGGAAGAGTTTGAGTAAGAGTAGGAAGAACCGACCTTCTCCAAGAATCAGGTGGCGAATGTTAGAGAAAGAAGAGTATGCAAGTAACTTTAAGGTAAAGGTGGTAGAAAAAATGATTGAAATGAATGCAAGGCTAGATAAGTCTGTGGATGGATGGTGGAGTGAAATGGCAAATTATATACGAAAGATAGCGAGAGAAGTACTTGGGGAAACAAAAGGAAAAGGCATTATTGAAAGAGAGACATGGTGGTGGAGTGATGAGGTACAGAAAGCTGTAAAAGAAAAGAAAGATGCCTTTAAAGCGTGGAAAAATGAAAAGGTCTGTGAGAGAATGAAGGAAGTCAAAATGAATGAATATAAAGAGTGGAAGAAAAAGGAAAAAAAAGCGGTAGCGGTAGCCAGAGCTAAAGCTCAATATAACATATTTAAACACCTACATGAACCTAGCGGTCAAAAAGAACTCTACCGCATTACAAAGAACAGGGAAGAAAGAGCAAAAGACCTGAAGCATGTGAGATGTATAAAAGATGAAGAGGGGAGAGTGTTGGTTAAAGATGAAGATATAAAAAAGCGATGGAAATCTTACTTTGAAAAACTTATGAATGAAGAGAATAAATGGAGCGGAGTGCTAAAGCATGTGGATGTGAATGTCGGACTGGTGAACGAGATTAGTATAGATGAAGTTAGATTGGCAGTACGAAGTATGAAAAATGGAAAAGCAGTTGGCCCCGACGGTATACCAGTGGAAGTTTGGAAGCTACTGAAAGAAGACGGATATAAGTGGCTGACTCTATTCTTCAATATGTTGTTGCTTGAAGAGGTAATCCCAAAGGAATGGTGTCAAACCCAACTCGTACCCATTTTCAAAAACAAAGGAGATGTTCAGGAATGCAACAACTATCGAGGAATAAAGCTCATGTCACATACTATGAAAGTCTGGGAGAAAGTGATTGAGAGAAGAATAAGAGATGAGAGTCAGATAACCCAAAGTCAATTTGGGTTTATGCCAGGACGCGGGACAACAGATGCTATATTTGCAATGCGCCAACTATGTGAGAAATACAGGAGTGCGCACAAAAACTTGCATATAGTGTTTGTGGATCTCGAAAAGGCATATGATAGGGTACCCCGAGAGGTTTTGTGGTGGGCTTTGAAAGAAGAAATAGTGCCTGTTAAGTATGTAGAATTGATTCTTGCTATGTACAGAGAGTCTAGCACTCATGTAAGGTCGGTCACGGGAAACACTGATCAATTCAGTGTCTCTGTAGGCTTGCACCAGGGATCAGCTCTGAGCCCATACCTCTTCCTGTTGATAATGGATGCTCTGACATCGGACATACAGGAGGAGGCACCTTGGTGCATGCTATTTGCAGATGACATTGTGTTGGTCGGTGAGGATGGGGTTGAGGTCCAGAGCAGACTGGAAAAATGGCAACAAAGGCTGGAGAATGTTGGCTTGAAAATCAGCAGAACCAAAACTGAGTACATGTTCTGCGATTTCGGCGGTCTCTCCAGTCCTGAAACCATTTCGCTGGATGGGATAGCGATAACAGTCTGCTCCAATTTCAAGTACCTCGGCTCCCTCTTACAATGTGATGGTGAGATTGATCGAACTGTACAGCATCGAATCAATACGGGATGGATGAAGTGGCGGCAGGTAACGGGAACAACTTGTGACCCCAGTTTCCCCTTAAAACTGAAGGGACAAATTTATAAAACTATTATCAGACCTGCCGTACTGTATGGTTCTGAAAGTTGGCCCATTAAGAGAACGGATGAGAGACGCCTGAACGTAGCCGAAATGCGAATGCTGAGATGGATGTGTGGTGTGACTCAGATGGACAAGGTTAGGAATGAGTATATACGAGGGAGTCTGAAAGTAGCGCCACTGGATGAAAAGTTAAGAAGTAATAGGTTATCTTGGTATGGACATGTCATGCGGAGGGATGAGGAAAATGTGGCGAAGAAAGTTTTAGGTATGAGAGTTGAAGGGTATAAGAGAAGAGGCAGACCGAAGAAAAGGTGGATGGACTGCGTGAGGGAGGATATGGCTAGCAAGGGAGTAAACAGTGAGATAACGCATGACAGAGTAGAATGGAAAAATCATACATACTGCGCCGACCCCAAATAAAATTGGGAAAAGGGTAGGCAGATGATGATTATAATATATTACTTACCACAAATAAATATCTATAGAAATGTATAAGTTGATAATCCTCGTGTTCACGGCCAGTTGCTACGATAAACACTACTCTGTAGTTTTCATCAGTAGGCATTGGCAGCAGGAAACTTTCACTGCAAAATATACCTATTCATTAATAATCATTATCATTAATATCACAGAGAGCTATAGTAATGAATAAAAGATGTAAAGTAAAATAATAATAAATAAATAATAATATTTCGGACATCTACCACACAACGCCATCTAGTTTCAAACTAAGTAGAGGTTGTACTACGAAAGCTAAAATGACTGATAGAATACTTATGTACTTTTATTTGTTAATACATAGAAAACACCCAAACTGTGAAACAAATATTGTCAAATAATACAAAAATTTGATCCGACGCGGGCATTGAACCTGAGATCTTAGCACAGCAGTTGCATACGCTACCACTGCACCATCAGAATCAATCGGGTCAGCTGATGGTGACTGCCACCCATAGACACCTGCATTTCTCTAGTGTTGATTGCATCTTCGGACAACACCCGTAAATATTGTTATTTTTATTTATTTATTATGATAGAGGGGCCAGACGAGCAGACGGTACACCCGATGGAATGTGACCTTTGCCCATGAACGTCTGCAACTCAGGAGTCACAAACGCGTTGCCACCTTTTAGGAAGGAGTACGCTCTTTTCTTAAGGGTTTGAAGGTCGTATTGGTCCGGAAATACCGCATATAATAACCCGTTCCACAGATTGGTTGTGCAAGGCAAAAAGTGTCCCGAAAAGCGCACAGTAGTCAATCGGCAACTATCGAGGTGATGGGGATTAAAATTTGCAGTGTGGAACGATGGCGGTAAGTTGCGGCCCATACTAGCCCAAACAATGCCTCGGAGCACTCTCCATGATATATGCGATAGAGAATACAGAGTGAAGCACCATCTCTACGTAACGCCAAAGGATCGAGCCAATCGGAGTAGCTAGCACTGAGGTGCCCCTGCATGGAGATGAGTATTCTATATGCGGGCGCGGACTTGCGCCTTATAGAGCTGAAGGCGGTGGGCCGGACTGCAATACTGCCTCGATCTGTTCAGCACACCGAGCTTCTTCGAGGTCAATTTGACCTTACCCTCTAAGTGAGTGGGGCAAACGAGCAGACGGGCCACCTGATGGTAAGCAACTACCGCCTCCCATGGACACCTGCAACTCAATAGTCACAAGTGCGTTGCTGCCCTTGGAGTCCCTCCCGCTCGAGTCAGCGGGAGGGGGGACTTGTGCTCCGGGAACCTCAGTCAGTCAGTGAAAGGCAACGAAAGAATTGCTTAACACCGCTTTCTGTGAGTTTATTTAAAAAAGTAATTGTGAACAAATAATAATTGTAAAGAAATAGAGGTGCTCGTGGCTAAGTGGTAACTGAGTAGGTTAGCACATTGCAAAGTTAACCAATCCTAGCCAGGTCAGACTATGGATAGGTGACCATTCTTTACACAGTGAGACCCCTGCGTGCCTCAGAGAGCTCGTTAATCCATCGGTCCCGGTTGCCATACAAACAGCGGTGGCAATCGTTACGGGTTGTTGGAGGTTAGTCTATTAATTCTTTAAATCTAGTACATAAAGCTCCTTATACAATATCTGGCACAAGGTTAACTAGAAGCGAATAATAAACCGGAACACTAAACGCAATATACGTAGTGTAATGCATATGTATATTATACGAGTTCAAGATGTCGAGGTGTCCGCCAACAGCCAGTTCAAGTTAAATGAATACGACCCTGAACTCCTCTGACTATAGTTAAGTCTAAATTTTGAAAAATGACGGCCAAAAAATGTATTTTCCGTGTGGTGATGGATAAAAATACCGATTGTCCCAACGTAAGAGCCGGCTAAGGCATCAAACTACGCAAAACAAACGCACTGCAAAGAGAAGGGAAACTTGAAACAAACCAAATACCAACCCGTCTGGCCAGCGTGGTAGGTAGAGTAGACTAAAACCTCCTTTATAAGGAGAGGCCTATGTCCAGCCAGTGGACTACTAAAGTTTATTAAAGGTGACACTCCGTAGTTCTAATCCGTCACCACACGGACAACAAGCAGACCATCCATCTTATTCTAATAATTCTTTATAATGGTACCCGTCAACTTATATGGAAAATTGGATTCATTTATCATTGTACTTATGTAAATATATAATAATATGTATTATTTTATGTAAATTCTTTGTAAATGTTATTAAGATTTACATAAACAAAGTAAAAAACATAACAACATTTTTAAACTCATTAAAATTTTACTTAATATAATCTTGTCATGATACTCATTTTCATTGTGTTAAAATACTATTATTATTTAAATAGCAACAAGAGGCTGACTAATTCTATTAATGTATCATCAACAGCCTTTACTAGTCCACTGCTGGACATAGGCCTCTCCTTAGAAAGGACGTTTTGGTCTACTATACCACGCTGGCCAGACGGGTTGCTATAGGGTTTGTTTCAAGTTTTCCTTTTGTTCTATGAATGTATAACAAAAAATACAATTAATTAATTACAAACTTTAACTAGGTAACTTCCTCATGTAATTGTTTATGGTGAAAAAGTTATTTTCAGTATATTTTATTTTTCAGACAATCATAGAAATAATCTCAAGTTCTATTATTTTATTAAAATAAATTTCATTAACTACGATCGAAATCTACCAAAGATTCAAATAAATACTTACAAAACTTCGAAAAGTGGAATAAATTCATGTTTCGGGTCCAATCCTATAAGATAATCCGGCATTAGATTAAGACATGTACATAGTTTATCAAACTTTTTCTTGGCCCTCTCGATGTGTCCTTTATTATATATTAATAAACGCTCCAAAAACTCAGGATCTGTAAAAATATAATATAATATTTTTGGACATTGACACACAACGCCATCTAGTTTCAAACTAAGCATAGCTTGTACTATAAAAGCTAGATTAACTGATAGAATAGTAAATATATATATATATATACTTTTGTAAATACAATACCTATAAAACACCAAAACTCTGAAACAAATATTTGCAGATCATACAAGTATTTGGTCCGACCCGGGAATCGAACCCGAGACTGCACAGCTGCAGTTGCATACGCTAATACTTGCACCATCGAGATAGTCGGTATATATAATATACGCTAATGTAAGTTTGTTTGTTACATTTTCTAGCCTTAACTACTGAACCAATCACTTTATTAGGAGTCCAAAGGACTAAAATGTAGGTACCTTACATTCAGAATCAAAAAACTTTGATGTACCTACTGATTCAGAATAAAACATGTTAATATGATAATAGTTAAAACCTGCTTTGAAATAATCATTCTAGTTTCAAACCAGTTTGTGTTGGTAGTTAGAAAAAAGTCCCACACACACACACACACACACAAGTTACTTGAAACGTATATTGATCATTCTACACGATTATTTCTTAAATTTCTACTTAAGCAGTTATAATAAAAATAGCTAACTGTTTATAGTTAGTTATTTTAAGTAAAGACGAAAAAACGGGTGCAGTAATTTTTTTAAAATTCATGTTTTAGAATTTTAAAATACACCTATGTAATACATCTATATATGCAGTATGTAATGTACGAGTATGTAAACAACAGCACTGCAAAGAGAAGGAAAACTTTAAACAAACCCTTTTTTTTTTTTTTTTTTTTTTTTTTTTTTTTAACGTGTGGAAATCCCCTCGGACCGTCACCTCACCGGGGTTTGCGGCGGGGTGGTGTGTCGGACTCGGACCGACTAAAACCACACGGTGTGCCACTCTGCGCCTATAATAGGAGGGATCCGGGAACAGCTGTTATTAAGACATCCGGACCCCTCCTAGCGCCGGCCCCCTCCTGTTGCGGGCCCCGTCTCAAAATTTTTTTCCTCTCTTTAGGCGACGTCCGGCACACGCGGACGCCGCCCCCTCGCGGCTGGCCAAACTAATGCGGGTGGAGGGGAAACCCACCCCGTCCACCCGCGGCCACACTCAGGGCCGCATGAGGCGGTGATAGGCGCGCCTCCGCCGCCCGGTTCGCCGGAGGCGGATCGGGTCCGAGTGGAGGTCGTCCTCCCGGGCCTTCTCCGCCGCCTCCTTCTGCGAGATTACTTCCTCGCAGAAGGTTGCGACCGTGGTAAAACAACTGTCGCTACCGGCCATGGAGCGTACTACGGCCGGTAGCGAGAGATCCACTCCGATGACTGCAGTGAGGGCCCGGCGCTGCGTCGCCCATGCGGGGCAGACCGCCAGCGTGTGCTGGGCCGAGTCCTCACTGCAGTCGCAGTGGTGGCAGGCGGGACTCAGTTCCCTCCTAGCGACCGAGTGCAGGTACTTTCCGAAGCAACCGTGCCCGGAAAGCACCTGCGTCAGCCGGAAGGTAAGGGTCCCGTGCTGCCGCCCTGCCCACTTGGCGATGACCGGCTGGAGAGCCTCCACGGCGGCGAAGCCAGCGCGTGGAGTCTCCAGCCGGAACGACCAACGAGCCATCGTGGCTCTGCGAGCGGCTTCGCGCCACTCGCGCACGTCTTCGGGCGGAGGGCGAAATCCGCTCTCCGCCCGGGAGTCAGCCACTCGCCGATAAACTTTGGCGAGCACTTCCGCCTCCAAATCCCACGGGGGAGTTCCAGCCAACGCGCACGCCACCTCCGTCGAAACGGTGCGGTAACCGCGTATGGCTCTGACCGCCATTACCCTCTGAGGGCGCCAGAGGCGTGCCCTATTCTGGGCGGTCAGAGCCGCAAACTTGAAACAAACCCTATACCAACCCGTTTGGCCAGCGTGGTATAGTAGGCCAAATCCTCATTTCTAAGCAGAAGCCTATGTCCAGCAGTGGACTGCTAAAGGCTGTTGATGATGATGATGATCGAATAATCAGAATAAGGAATGTTTATATAATGATAACTTCTATTACAAATGTAACAGTTTGATTTATATAAAAAAATGTCAATTAAATTTAAAAAAGAACTAAATTTAATGAATTATGTTTAAACTTCGGCTACGAGGCGATTTCTATATTATAATTAATTTAAGTAGTTTTTATATTTTAATCTCATTTTAAAATATTAATATCTAAAGCCTATTGCAATTAAAATCGGAATCGGAAAAAACTATTGAATTGAAAGTCACATATTTATATCTTTATAATAATATATATATATATATATATATATATATATGTATATACATTTACGTACCAAAGTTTTTAGTCCTGAAGTGGCTCTGCTTCTGAATCCAGTCATCAAATTGTTTTATATCCTGCTTTAATCGATTTATGTCTTCATATCCGAGGGATTTTCGAACTGTTTGCAACTGATTTTCATTAAACTTCAAAACAGGGCTAGGTTTAATCACGTCCATTTTGTGCGAGTATATCAACACATATGGCGCCGTTGCAACACGTAGTTAATTTATAACTCATGATTGTTTAGTAACGCTGACTCAGAAAAAAAAAATTGGACCTCGAAACTATAATCTTAAATTGCCTTTATGATTTTGTTTTTGTTAGGTTGGGTAACTCCCATGTGTTTGATATTTACAGCACTTTATTTATAGGAGTGGTAATCAAAATAACCGCATTATTTATTCAAAATACTGTACTAGATACGCCGATTCCACTCACAACAGAGATCGGCAATTTGTAGTGCATCGTCAAATTAACGAAGACTCAATAATTGCGTATTTTCCTCTAATAAACCACACGCCGTATTATGTACTAGTAACCGAGAATCCAGGTGCACCCTAGAAAAGAAATCCCCGGTACGCCGATGAACCCAGGCCATCTACGGCTTGTAGATGACTTCTTCGTGTATGGGAAATACGATGTGCCGGACTGCCACCCTGGCCTGCTTCTGCTAGTGTGTCAGATGGCCTCACCTGTAACCCTCAGGACGGAGGTAGTTCTATGACCTACGGTGCTTGAGTCGTCTGCGGTACCTGGCCCGTTCCATTCCTGGTGGACCAGGAGAGTTCTAAGCCTCTTTTGGTCCTGCTCCACCATCTCCTTTGCGAACATAATTTGGTGGCAGAAGGAGACGGTGGAGTTACACTCTCTCGCTTCGTACCACGCACCACGCACGCCAGCAAGGTTAGCACAGAGTTGGCGTTGATTCCTTGCGGACCAGACACAGTTGACCAGACCAGTTTTTCCCTTGGATCACATGCGTCCGCCGGTATGAGGGGGTTCCGTGTTTCCCTTGAACCAATTCCTCCATAACGGGTCTTACCGCTACAATAATGTAGTTCCCAGCGCTTGGTTGCTCAAGTCGTTCTTCCTACTACTCCACGAGGACCTTTCGGAGTTGGGATTTCTGGTCCTTGATTTATCAAGCCTCTCGCCTCGGGGTCCCACCGGTTAAAGTAACACAACTGTTTTATCCAGTCATAAAACAGGGGCTTCATATTTTACTCACACAACCACGTATATATCCTGCACTGAAAAAGTATAAGAATAAAAGTAGGCGAGAATTCAATTAGTTTAAGTTGATTCCTATAAAACCGATCAACGTTCGATAGTATTTAGATTCCTATTTATATTATAAGATTACCGAACTCTTCGGTTGACAGAGTCCAGAGCTTCAACTTAGTATTTAACTGACCCATACCTATAATAACAGAACTTTACATGACATGACAGATGTCATTTTGGAATGTGACTACCAATTCCTCAGAACATATAGGACAGACATGCATCATCATATTAAACTTAATATAATATTAATACAAATTATACTAGTATTTGTATAAAAAATAACTTGGTAAACAATACAATATCAAAGGTGGCCGTAAACTGTTTTGAGCAAGGTTCCAGCTTCAGCGAGATCCAGCCTCAAATCGTTGAGGTATGACGATTGAAGTAATTACACAAAGTAATGCGCAGTGAAGTCAAAACCTAACGTGTTGTTATTTCCTTAACATTAAGTACTGTCGTCGCAAGGTCACGTGTATTCTCATCACCTGAGAAAGTAACTGTCATATTTAGATTATCATAACACAATGAATATAAATAGCATACAATAAACTCGTTTACATTAAAGTTGGTTAGGAACAAATAACTTTAAAAAAAGTATCAAATCGACTAAATTATGATACATTGGAATAAACAGTATTCTTCAATTCTGAATTTTTACACTTAAGTAAGAGTAGTATTATTTTTTCGATTGAAACCTGTTTTACAACGTGTAGATACCCCTTTTAAATAGTCAAGAAAACACAAAATATACTAAATACACAAATTCTGTCTCAAAATTCTAGATGTCTAATACCGTTTGTGAATTTACCCACACACCTCTTATTTGTATTAAGAGGTGTGTGGGTAAATTCTCTTATTTGTCTTAGTCTATCAGCTGTAACTTTATGTCCAGGCGCTGCTACCTATTTATAAATGAACTATCCCATGACACGTGACTTGCGAATTATAAAAAAATATTTTATTTCACAAAGTAGAAACCCGTTCAATATATCTCTACTAGTAGGTATATCCCAACACATATTCTTTGAATTTTTAATTGATTGGTACTAACTCTGCAATCTCATTTAGTAAACTATACAGTTTGCTAAATGTCACTTCAATTCATAAAGCAGTTATTATCTATTATTTTTATAAAGTGATTTACGTTTCGTGAGTTACTTTGACGATTTGTGATCATTGTGTACTCTTGCTTGTAGTTCACTGCTCAAGGTCGTAGCTTCGAGAAACCTTCAGATTTTATGAGCAGTGATTGTTTTTTTCTACGAATACTTTGGTACTGTTTTAGTAGGCCATAATAAATTTATTTATTTTACACGTCATGCAAATTAACTTGGCATTATGTGGGGTTTACTGATAGGCCAAACTTGTCAGACCATGCTTTAATTGCTTCAAGGTCTCTATTTACTATAACTATTGCTATTAAGATATCTTCAACCTTACTTTGTGAATAGATTTGCGGGTCATCGGTATACAAATAATACGTGCAATTAAGTCTCAGGGTTAGGAGCTTAATATACACAGAAAAAAGCAAAGGGGAAAGAATATCGCCTTGAGGGATACCAGAGTAAAGGTCACACCAGCTTCCAAGAAGACTAGGTCACAAGAAGATTCATCTACACGAACAGACTGCTGGCGTCCTTCAAGATAAGATGAGAACTATTCCAGTGCTTCGGGTGAGACCATAAGATGGGAAAGGATAGATAAAAGGATATCTTGATTGACGTTATTAAAAGCGTTTTCGAAATCGACCAGTATTAATACAGTTGCCTTGGTGTCCTCCATGCCCGACCGAATATCGCCAGTCACTTTAAGAGCGGAGATGATACTATAACCAGGCCTGAAACCAGACTGCAACGGACTTAACAATTTGTTTTTGTAGGTAAATTCGGAAAACTGCTTGACTACAGAGGATTCTAGGACCTTATGTAGGAAGGGAAGAATCGATATTGGTGAATTGGAGGTAAGAGGATAACATAAGCTTTGCGCCAAAGTGATGGAAAAATTCCAGAATCTAATGAGTAGTTAATAATGTGGATGGTTACAGGTAAGATTTGGTCCAGGATTGTTATAATCATGCGTCGGCTGATTTGATCACAGTCAACGGCGTTAGATCTAATGAAAAGTATTATCTTTGTGATCTCACTCGACGCAACCGGAGAAAATTGGAAAGAGTTTATTTCAGGGTTCTCTAGACTTGCAAGTAGTCAACAGTACGATGCCTGGTTTGGTTATCCAAATGAAGAGAGGAGAAAAAATGGCGATTTATATCATACAAACCAACCACCCCTGCAGACCATCCGAAGGCTGCTTGCCGATACCCAGAGTTCACAGAAACTTATAAATATTGGCGGGGGAAGAACGGGTAATGTTGTCAAGAATATGTCGACGTTTAGCGTTACGTGTCATCTGATTGCATCTATTTCTCACCGTCTCGTACAAAGCCTGCTTTTCCTCAGTACGATTCCTTTTAAATTTACAGTAGGCTCTATCTCTGCGCCGCATAGTCATAAGCACCTCCTTCGTCATCCAGGGTGCAGGTTGCCTCTTTAACTTATTTTTTTTTAACAGGAGCATTGACATAGTACAAAGCAATTATTTCGTGGTTAAAATTGTTAATTTTCTCGTCCACACTTCTGACCGACGACTGACTACGTTCCAATTCAGATTAGCAGCATCCCCAACGAGCCTGTCAACCTCCATACGGCCAAAACAACGCATGTGTAATACTCGAGGTCGGGATTTGGGTGGTTAAAGGACGTAGGCGAGGAAGAAAGGTCATGATTGGAGAATGCCGGGGCTACAAGTTGACCGTGATCACGGACAAGTGTTGGGGCCGAAGTTATTATTATAACCAACCAAGTGACTTGCCCTAGGCTATTGTGATGAGTTGGTTGCAGCGGCAAAATCTGCAAGCCGACAGACTCTACAATCTGGAGGAGTTTACAGGAACGTGAGAAATTTAATATGCTTTGCACTTTCCGTTGCCTAAAAAATTCAGTATTTTTAGAAATGTATAATTTTACTTCTGTGAGTAAGTTATACTAAAAAATATTTGGAGATTCAATATTTACAAGACAATAATAATAGTTTCTAAAACAATATTCGTTTAATATTATTCTTAAAACTATAAGTACAATTACTTAATCAACACACAGAGTTTTGAAAGATCCGGGAACTCCAGAATATTCTTCATTAAATGTGCATGGAAGTCGATAAGACTCATCTGTGGCCGCTTCCTCCATAAATTTTAATTTCGCGATATTAGCATCTGAGCTCAGCTCCTTAAATTGTATCTCTGTGGATTTAAACCAACAATTTAATCTTTCAAAATAAAGCTTAATTTTCTTTGTTTTATGATTAAAAAACAAAAATTGAATTAATATCTTACCAGCTAACTCTTTCACAGATTTTTCATCTCCCCCAAACTCCTTAGCTAGCATCTCCCTGGGCAAGTGTTTGTACAATTCTTCGTTTGACGAATGTATCACAACTCTGTCTTTTAATTTAGAACTTAAGCCCTGTTTGATGAGGAAGAGCATGGCTTCAAAAAACTTGGAATTATTAAAGAAATGTATTTTTTTCATTCGTTGACCCATACATTCCTGAAACATAATATTTATTACTATCCGGCAAAGAGAACTTTAACAATCTACCATTTTCGGTGTTAATTTTGAAACAAATTTTTAAGGTCCTCAGTTAAGTTAAGTATACTTTTCATATTCCTAATGAAGGTACTAATTTGTTACTATATACTTTTTGATATCTACTGATGAACAATTTGATAGGTAGATACCGATTCCTTTATACAAGCCACTATCTTTTTATATCAAGAACCAAGAGATACCTACTTCTTTCTTCTTTTTGTAACTTACCGTGAGAAGTGTGAGAGCCTTGTGTACAACGATTGGATTACCCTTCCTGACAGTTTTTGCAGTTAATTTTCTAAAATCTGCTACAATCTCGAATCCTTGACAGTAGTCATGTGTCAAGAGATAATGACCAATCTAAAATTATATTGATTACATACATGTTATTTTAGTGATTGTTGCTAAAAAAAATACTAGTCTAAGTGCTATTTGTCGTATTTAATTTAATAGTCGGTTAAGGTTTAATTTAAGAGTACCTATTGTTTGTCGTAAACAGCGATAAGTGCCCAAGTCAATTAGAAAAAGTTTATAATAAACACACAGATGCCCTGGAGTATATGAATAAAAGGGCTGGAAACAACAGTGTACTTAATCATAAGTGCCATATTTCCTAAACATTGACTTAATAGTAATATTTTTAACAATATTTTTGGACATCTAAAAGACAACGCCATCTAGTTACAAACTACGCAGAGCTTGTACTGTTAAAGTTAGATTGACTGATAGATTCCTCATATCCCTTTTTTGTAAACACATATATTGAATAGTAAATTATTCCATTTTTATTGATTAATTTAAGACTGACTGAGAATAAGAAGATGATGATGACGTGAACATTGACGATAACAATCCAAAAAGCGCAAGGAATATATCGGTTTCTTGAGCAATAACTTCTGTTCTTACTTTGGTGTACTTAGAAAATAAAGGAACATAAGAAACTGATGGCTAAGTTTTCGGAAGGACAGTTACGAAAAAAGAATTAGAAAGATGTTACAGTACTGATTAGTGAAGAGATAGAGAAAAAACTTACCACTATCAAATATCTATAAAATAGTATAACTTCAAAATCATCATGTTCTTCGCCAGTAGCTTGGACTAAAACCACGCGGTAATTATCCTCTGTCGGAGTCGGCAGCAGGCAAGTATCGCTGAAACGTTTATTGTTTGGTATGTTTAAGGTTTATAAGAATACCTTTAAGAGTTCAATATGCGCCATAAAAATTATCATAATATTGCAAACTGTAATGCGAACAAAAATAATAATTTGATAGCAGCCCATTCTCATTATTGAAACACAATAATTAAGTGTTAAAAAAGTAAAACCAACTTTAATGTTCCTTTATTTCTTAAAATTTCGATGGGATGAAGTAAAAAATAGCTTTCCATATCGGTTGTGAGGTAACAAACATTTTTTTCAATGTTTTTTAACTCAAAACCTCCTATTTTCTTTCAATCGGTAAAAAAATAAATACAGATCAAATTATGCTTAAAATTCGCCACTGAGTTTTGCTAGACCTTATGTATCAATATCACCTTTTACGTAACAGAGTATTATTAATACCATAAGAGCAATATAGTTGTTAACACTTCCATTTATGGCTTACGGCTTAACCGGAGTGGTGACACTGCTTCATAGAACTTAAACCGAGTGAGTAAAGTTACAAAAAGCTCTTTTCTTTTAATACGACCCGAGGGGAGGGACTTCAAAGCCTCTCTATGAGTGCCTCCCCTAGAATTGGGGCGAGGAGACGCTTAAATGCACTTCTGTCTCTTGAATTGGACGTATCCATGGGCAGTACTAACTTACCAATAGGTGATCTGTTTACGCACTTGCCTCTTAATAACTATAATATATTATAAAATTAATAATCACACTTACTATACTTTAAAGAGAGGTACGAATTCGTTTCTAACGTCGAATCCTTTGAGGAAATCCGGCATTAAATTAGTACATGTGCACAGTTTATCAAATTTCTTTTTGGCTCTTTCAATAGACCCTTTATTATATATCAACAAACGCTCTAGATATTCACGGTCTGTAAATAAAGATTTAAATTTTAGAGAAACAATTTCCTTCAATAGTTTGGCTCGAATATTCATTTGGTTACATCTCTCACTTTAATATCATAATCTCAGTGCAACTGCTTATAATATCGTCAACTGTTATTTTAAAATAAGTTAATTATTACTTACCAAATTCTTTGATCCTGAAATGACTTTGTTTTTTAATCCACTCATCGAATTGTTCAATATCCTGCCGTAGTCTGTTTATGTCTTCATACCCAAGTACCTTGCGAACATTTTGTAAATGATTCTCATGAAATTTTAGTATTGGGTTAGGTTTGATTACCTCCATTTTTCCTTTAAGAATAAATGAATACGTTTTAGCATTTTGGTTTTATATGCGTTTTTTTGTATTGCGTTATAAATTATTCATCAACTCTAAAATTTGTTACACGACCGGTTGACTGTGACTTCCTTTGTATAAAATAATGTATCTAGAACTCGGGACTAATTGAACCATTTATATTGAGTGAAGTTATAAAAATACCATCATGATTACGAAAATAAATGAAATAAAACTTGAGTTTATAATTACACTCAACAGGTATAGAGACTAATTTTATGAGTTGAGGTCTATGTCCAGCAGTGGACTATTAAAAGCTGTTGATGATGGGATTACAATATTGCTCGTAATTTAAAATTTCTTGGGTTTAATGAATAAAACCCGTAAAAGTGTCAGGAACTGAGGACATATTTAAATTAACAAATTTTGTAAAATATAAGAAAACTAGAATAAATCATAATTACCTACTATCGAAGGATATCACTGTGATCTTCAATGTTATTTTATAGACAGTCCACGGAATATCGACAGTAATAGCTATTTATTGCACGAAGAACACAATGAGCATCATTGTAACTATCAAATTACTACTATCAAAGTAATAATTATTTAAAAAAAACAGGTGTTTGTCATCTTCACGATGGTGTATTTAATGCTAATGATGAAGGCACAGACAATAGAAAAATGTTGCTTCCTGCACACGCAGCCTCTGTTTACTAAGATGTGAAGTCTAATTAACTGCTTAGCGTTTAGCTATGAATACATTATGAATATTAATAAATATAGCTAGATATCATCGGCTACAAAGTCACATGTGCTTTTATATCCAAAACATACATTATTACATTGCAAAATGACATTTTACTGGTAACATTATAGATTTATAACCAACGCCTTCCTTAGAAATGCATTGCGTGCATGCGTTTTAATACCGGACAAATTACGATGATGAATTATGCCAAGGTTAACGGATAAGGACAAGAAGCAGTACTGCAAGTTTGGGAAATGGAACTGTGACTGCAGTCTGCAGTTACAGTGCAGGTTCTTTTTTTTTCTTGTTTTTATTGTTTAAGGTGGCAATCGAGCAGACGGGTCACCTGACGGTAAGCAACTACCGCCACCCATGGACACATGCAACTCAAAAGTCACAAGTGCGTTGCTGCCCTTGGAGTCCTTACCGCTCGAGTCAGCAGTATGGAGATGATTGAAGGTAGGAATCTACGGAGTGTATGTAGGTATATTCCTTAGCACCCTGTGTGGATAGATTTTGGCGTTTGAGGTGTCGTTACATTCATCATAATTGAATTAAAAAAGTTTTAAGTTTTTTAAGTTTGAAATTTTAAGTATACATTTACACACACGGCCTGGCTTGCTTAGCTTTTTTAGATTGTTGTTTACCTATTGCTGTTTTTATTATTTCTTTTGTATCGTAATACGGTTACAGTCGAAGCGTTTTCATATAATCTACTAGTTATTCGCAGTTAGTAATTTTATGTGTACTTAAAACGTTGTTTTTTTTTAATGGCGTAAGGTAACATAGTACAAAAGAAACTAATTATTTGTATAATTTAATAAATGGGAGAACTAGTTTAGCCGACAGACTTCACCTTATAAATACTTTTTTTATGTTTTGTACTAGTTATGAAATCGTCTTATACACTCTTTATCAGTTTATTTTTTCTGTGTTCTTTTGTTTTTTAACAAGTCAATTCCCGTATTACGAATCTATTCTGAGTCGCGGGGGACTTTACAATCATACATGGAATACATGAATCATACATGGAATTTGTGGATCACACAAAGTGTCGTCCCATGTGGGTTTGAACCCACAACACTCGGCGTAATAGAAAGCGGCGTGGCGACCGCTTAAACCACTACGCCATCCGTGCAGTCAATAATGTTGAGGGATAACTGCATTACGGAGACAATGACAGTCGATTTATACCACCAAGTGATAAATTAGGTCAGTTATATCATATGTCACTATTAAACAAGCAATTAATTTACCATGCACTGAGAAATGAGTCGAAATTATAAGTACTGGTTTTTGTATGTGTAAGTCAAATTATTTATTAAATAATTTGACTTACACATACAAAAACGACTCTTCTTAGCCGTCTCAAATATAGTCAGCAGGCCCATTGTTTTTCTAAAATGTTTTTCTAAAAAAAAATATTTGGCAAAAAAATATCAAATATTTAGCAAAAAAATATGCTACAAAGCCTGTTTTGATAAGTGTTAGAGATCCAGAGATATAGGGTTGGCTACGCTGGCTTAAGTCTTAAGTCAGCAGGACCATTGTTTTTAGGACATGGCTATGGTAAAAAAAAAAACTTTGGCAAAAAAATTGCAAATAATTAGCAAAAAAAAATTTATTACGGCCCTATGACTTGGCTACGCTAGCTTTAAAAACACGAATAAATAGGGGTGGTGACACTCCGTATTCTTAATCCGTCTCGGTAAACCTCAACGCGCGTGAGAGACTCACATTTATCCAATTTTAAACTTATTAAAAAGATAATTTTTCGGTTTTCTTCTTACAAAAAAGCGAAAGCTAAACATTAAGTAACTTAACACAAAGTTTACTTGACGACCTCCGTTCAGGTAAGATTTAGGTACAACTAAAACAAAAATTATGTTAATTTTGATTGCAATTAATTACAAACTTTTTGCACATCAAGGTTATGAGATATAGATATACGTTTAATAATACCATTTATCTCTATAAATATATATATATATATATATATATAGAGAGAGAGAGAGAAAGAGAGAGAGAGAGAGAGAGAGAGATAAATGATATATAATGGCATATTATATATATGCCATTATATATGTATATATATATATAGACATAAACGATAAGTTAGTTTGTGTACGATTAAAAACTCAAAAAGTTCTGCACCGATTGAGTTCAAATTTTAATACGATTTAGAATACTTTTCATCTATGGTTTTAAACCATTTTTGCAACCACAATGTGCTATAGTGAAGCGTGGCATGGTACAACTATTAAATATATTACGTAAGTCTGTTATGTATATTATGCGGTTTATAGTTCGGGAATTAATAAGACGTATTCCCGCTTATGACCACAGCCAGTGCAACCGGGTTAAAACGTTAGGATATTTAAAGTTGCGCTCGCTTCCAGGGAGCACAGGGAACATGGGGTTCCCACACGGGGAGGGTCGTCTGTAGATGACCCGAGGTATGTCGGGGCACTAGGGACTTCCTTTCTAGGGTATACCTGGTTCCCCGGCTATTAGTACCCGACACGGCGTGCGGTTTTAGTCGGTTCGAGTCCGACATGCCACCGACAGGTGGTATCTGAGGGGATCTTTGCACGGAAAAAAAAAAAAAAAGGATATTTAAAGTTATTTAATAGATTTTGATGGTATCAATCCATTAACAAATCGTGTTTAAAAGTTACTATCACATATTCGTAGACTTATAACAAACTAGCTTCCGCCCGCAGTTTGCCCTGGACTTCCTTTCTAGGGTATACCTGGTTCCCCGGCTATTAGTACCCGACACGGCGTGCGGTTTTAGTCGGTTCGAGTCCGACATGCCACCGACAGGTGGTATCTGAGGGGATCTTTGCACGGAAAAAAAAAAAAAAGGATATTTAAAGTTATTTAATAGATTTTGATGGTATCAATCCATTAACAAATCGTGTTTAAAAGTTACTATCACATATTCGTAGACTTATAACAAACTAGCTTCCGCCCGCAGTTTGCCCTGGATTTTAGTAACTGTGATCCTTTTTTCACTTGGTTTAAATAGCATAAGATTTTTTGCGATTTCTTCAACAATAATCCTTATAATTCAGTCAATTTATATAAACGATCATGAATTATACACCTAAACCTTTCCCAGGAATCACACTGTCGATCGAAATCCGTTCGGTAGTTTTTGAATTATCGCCTTCATACAGACAGACTTACAGACATACAGACGGGGGACTTAATTTTAGTAACCCCCGGGGTTAACGGGGTTAACGACGGGCTGTTATAAGTTTGACGTGTCTATGTGTGTGTGTGTGTGTGTGTGTGTGTGTGTGTGTGTGTGTGTGTGTGTGAGTGTCTGACTCTGGCATCGCAGGAAGATGGCCGACGTTAGAAAATGGCGGATTACATATTTTTTCACAACTCCCTCAACATGGGTATCAAATGCAAGGCCTTGACTAGTAGAATACTATACACTATGACAAATTTCAAATTCAAGATATGTGTTGGGGGTTTTTTAAATTTTTAATTCAATTTTTTTAATATGTACCTACCTAAGGATAGTGATAGATAGATAGTGCTAAAGCTTTTTCTATACTGATGAAACCCTGTTTGAGAAATCTTGAACGTACTGCAGATTTCAAAGGATCATAACCAATTCATCTTACTTCTATCTGTTTAAGCATCAAACATATTTAAGTATATATCCTATAAATATATGGAAATGTTTACTTGAATTAAGATCGTGATCTATTCATTTCTAATCTGAGGCAGAGGACGTCGATTGACTCCCACCCAGAATAAATAACCATATGTTTGTATGAAGTTATTATTTATTATTGTTACGAGTTATTGTTGTATACGGAGATATAAAAATAATAGTTGTCGGTTATTGACTTCATTGCACTGTATTTACAAACGCTCACTATAACAAACTAGAAATCACTATACTCTGAGTATAGTGATTTGATTTGTATTTGATTTTTTATATATATTTGCTGAGTTGTGGCCCTTTAGTCACACACAGTGATCATTTTATTCTTTTGTACTTGTTTGTTTTTGTTATTGTATGTGCTATTCTTCAGTTGAGCAAATTGTTTCTTTTCTTTTTCTCTTCTATGTTATATCTGTAATTCCTTTTTTGGCTGTGTTTGTGTTGTGACTAATAAACGTATTTTCTTTCTTTTCTTTCTTTCTTTTACTCGTATATCTCGTTAGTCGTACTAGAAATTCACTCCGATGTTAATTCGCTGTGTCGTAAAATGAACGGCCAACACGCTCCGCT